ATTGATTCACACTCGATGTGGTTGAACTAAACTGGCAACGGCTTCTCACTGAAAATTCGAAATTATCTATCACTGGCGAATTACTGTAGGGATTTATCAAGATTATTGAATTTAATTTAACAGGAGCTGACTTAAGTTAAACATTCATTGAAACTGAATAAAAAATGAATCTAGTCCCCAACTATGTACGTTTTTGCTTCCCTAAAAGAAATATCTCTCGCTGCATTATTCATCTGCAAATAAGTCATGCTTGATTAAATCTTGAATTGAACTAAATTTTGAATAAACTCTGATATACGTCTAGTTAACGTTAGAGTAAACACACACATTCAAATACAGTTTATGCGTACGTAGTCACATATTTACATACATGCATTCAATCAAATGTTCACTTCATTAAAATAATAGATGAAGAGACTTGAAAAAATTTTACGCATAAAAAGGAGTGTAAAAGTTCGTCATTTCAATCAAAGTGGACAGTTTATAAATGAACACGTACAAAATCACTATATTGTGTACAAACAGTCAAATAACTACTATTCTCCGCCCACACACACACGCAAACGCATACGTAAAATATATCAATGTTTTTATACTCATTGTTGGTATATTCGCAATAAAATGAATATTCGATAAACTTTTCTTTACTAAATATTTAAATAAATTGCTTTCTAAGTTGCTTTTCTAATTAACGGAGAAAAATTACACAGTTAAATGATCAAAAGACTAAATTTTAAAATATTTGTACACCACTTATTTCAACATAATTGTCTCCCAAAATAAAAAAAACCGAGAACTCTTGAAATCAGTCAAAATGATTTAGATACGTGTGTAGGTGATTGGTTTAGATAGAGCAAAGTATAAACAAAAACTTGATAAGAGAAAGCAAACACAATACGTGATTGTACAGCAGATAATTTCCTTTTATTTTTATAGTATTAATACGCTCAGTGAACAAAATAAGTGTTAACTCGTTCTAATGTAGACAATGTTAACGTTGCGTGACAAGTATTTGAATCTAACCTTGAATAAACATAAATAAAGACAGAACAATATTAAAACAATCTCTCACCACTCTTATTTTTCTTTTTCCAGTAACTGCCACGAACAATAACAATGAATGATACATCAGTCCAATCACCAGTGTAGTTCGAAAATAGTTTTCGTAATGGATGAACATGCTTTAAAATACCATTGAGCATCGAATAGCTGCTTTGATACAAGACTGGGAATCCGCATCACTACTCATCCATAATTTTACCGCCTCCTTGGACTGAATTCAGAATCGTTAACTTTCATAGCCGATATGACGTCACTCCACTAATGTGTTGGAATTCAGCTATTCTCATATCTAACTTCATTCAATTCACGGTATTCTCATACTACCAATCATCATCACCGGTGATACATGTTACTTGAGAGACATTGTTGAATTCCAATAGTCATGAACCCTCAGCAGAACTTAAGGAATTTATTATTAACTATTTCATTGATAAGGACTTGTTTATATTATTGTTAAGATATATAATTAACTGACAAAACACACAAAACTAATCACTACGAACCTCTCAATATAGACAGTATAGTTATTAGTTTGATCACCGTTCCCTAATGTCAGTACATGAGATCATTGACTTGTATGTGTTTCACTGAGTTCATTAACTTTTCATCAAATCAATCGAACTAAAAAATACATAAAAATCGATTTCGTATTTTTCCCCATGATCCTATTTTGTCTCCTCTTTAAAACAGAACACATAATTATGTTACTTTTCAAAGTGAAATTATTTACTTAACATTTACCTTACAAGATCCACCTCTGCCAATAATGCTTGTAACCTAATAGCAATATTGAGGCAGTTCTCACAGGACTCACGTATGCCAAAGAGACTGACCAACTTCAGTCCTAAACATCGATGAGAAGATTCAAACAACCAATACAAATGAACTACTGGGCATAATTTGCAAACAAAATATATGTGTAATAGTCGTGACAGCATAATCACATAAATAAATTCATGAAACTTATTTTAACTACTTATAAGTACCAACACAAATGTAACAAAAGTTTTACTGATGGTCAAGGTTGATGTTTTGAATAACTTTCAGCTGGTCATTCAAATGCCAATTATCACCAATTAATAAAGTCAATTCCTGAATATATCATGAGCGTTTTTAGTAAAATACCTTCTGTAAATTTTATTTTGTGATGTCATATATATTTAACACAAGCAATTATCATTAAAATGTCCCGAAAAATTGCAAATTTCTTTTGTATTGAATATTTTGATAAACACAGGTAAAAAGAATATATAATTCCCATTTAACCCAATAAAGTGAATTTTGTATAGGATTATGGTTTACATTCGAGATAGCAACAAAACTCTGAAGGTTAGGATGACAGTTTGTTTCGCTGTGAACTAAATGATTTCATTGCTCGTATTTTCTTTGATGAATCATGAGATGATTGTGTTATGGTAAGTCTATACATTTCAGTAATCAGGTGTCAATTTTACCATTACATTTTAAAGAATTATTGGTTTTCGATAGCTGTTGGAATAAACCAAAAGTAAACAACTGAACAAAGTGTAACATGGCGGTTGACAGTTAACGGTTAAAACTAACTTCTCAGAATTCTATTTTAGGCAGGTATTTATCCCTTGGATATAATGTCAATTATTAGACTGTTCAGATGTGTTGTGCATACTTTACACGAATGAGTGAAGTAATTTTATGTTGATCTAAAAAAACTTAATATCGTGACATTAAGTCGAAAACAGTATATCAATAGTTTTAAGTGTCTAGTTTTGTAATCTGAAAGATGGGTGTTCTATTAGTGACGACTCACTATAGGCATTTAAAACAAATGATACTGCAGTTGAAACATTTATCCAATACAAGTTATTCACGAAGTTAACTATGTAAAGATTTTATGCATTTGGGAAGCAGTTTTCATAAACAACCTATGTAATTTGGAGAAACATTAAGTCCTAGAAACCAAAGAGCATCTACGTCGTGCTAATTCCATACCCTTCAGTAATGTGCTAAAATGACCCATAACTTTTTGGTTTTGGTGAACACGATACTTGCAGACTACTAAGTTGAAATTCAATGTTGTGCATTTTGAACTTAACCAGTTCATTCTCCAGTACGAACACCATCAAATGTCATCTGTAAGACAACTCTTCACTCCTAGCCTGGTTGATTCTACTGATCAGTAATTCCCTTAGTTTTTTCATCTAATTGTTCTGAATTATTAGCAAAAATGCTGGTTTCCATTTTTAATGATAGACATAATCAAAAAGTCAGCAAATTATGTTGAAAACAGAAAAGCGATTCAAATGCCAATAGATACATTTGCAGAAGGTAGAAAATTTTTTCCTTCCCCATCCTTTTAAAAACCAATCTTCCAATAGTAAATAACTAGTGCTATTCATTTGTGTGTTTGGTTATAATAATTTTTTTTACCTAAAATCTAGCAAAGAAATTTGTTGCAGTCAAGTGAATTCTTCATTTTGATATCCGTTGGATTAATGATATGAGTATACAAAAGGCAACTGAAAACTATGGGAAGGTATGTACCTCGCAATCTCTGATCAAACTCATCATGACCACCCTGAACACATGAAACCTGACTCATGGAAATAAGTGTGATTTCGAAACCCGAAACTACTGACCAAAAGAATGATTAAAGCTGCTAATGTTTTCGATTGGACTTGCGAAGTATGATTAACATGTTTACATGTTGCCAAAATATGTCAATCAAAGCATTTTGCGAGTGTTGAACTTTGAACTCAAACTCAGTGGTCAACGATTATGGCGGGCACAGAGACCATGAAGCTTTATGTTGGGTTTCTTGTAGAGTCATGTTTGCTTATCGTTGGGTTTTCCAATTAGGATGAGGTCATTTGTTTGTGACTGTTAATTCTCAGTGATTTTTTAGATTTCAGTCTCTAGCCATTACTTAACTGCAAAGATAGACATGCATTTTCAATAACAGCTAAATTACTATTAGAATTGATAGCTTCTATAAATTTTGAACTACTAAGCAATTTCAAATTACAAAGGAACATGTTTTCAATGCTCAGCTTTAAAGAATTCTTTAACTTATTAATAGAAGTGTACTTTTAAACAACTTATTAACATTTCCTATTTGATTATTTCTTATAACTAAATACTGAATTAATTGTAAGTTTGTAAACGACTAAATGAGTAAGATCACTCACTCCATGATATTATCAATGAAGTTAAGAAAACCGCCATAGTAACTAATTATGCACGCGCTAGTGACTGACTTCGATAGGTGATTTCAGAATTCTAGTGACAAACTATATCATATGTGAAGCAGTGACCATCAAGTATATTTGTAGATCATTGCGTAATATTACGAACTGAAGCCTGTAAATTATTGATCATGGCTCAATCGTTTAGAGTTCGCGCGCGAGACCAAACGTCACGGATTTAATTGCTGCTGGCTGGGTTATGGACACACACTGTTGAGGAGTTTTATACTAGGATGAAATAGCTGTACATTGGCTCCTCGTTCTCAATAGTTGTTTATACAAGATCATTCCATAGTTTTAACTGTGAAACTACAAACAGCTTTACAGAATACCAACTAGTCTATCCCCTCCACTCCCACTGCAAAAATATAAAATTTATCAAAATAACACTGATGATAACCACATAAAGTGTATTTATGAAAATACTGAATGCAGATTATGAAAATCGAATGAACGATTACCACTGTCTCGCTCACACACACACACATTTGATTGACACAACATATAATGTACAGTTTTATTTTATATCACCGGGATCAATTAATTAAAGCTTCTTACGTTCCGTAAACGACTATCTGTTCTATGTAACTCACAAAATCAATACTCAAAGGATTTACCAAACAACCAAAAATCAAAGGGAGAACATGATCAATAGCTATGAAATATTAAAAAAAAACTTTGGTAATATAATTTTTCCCATAAAAAAGGAAGAAGATGCTATGAATTCGTCAGATATTTTTCAAAAAACCCTTGAAGTACATTTAAACGATGATCAATTTCATCTAATTCTGCATCAGTATCATGAATTGTTTTCTCTTTCTTAGTATAAACATTTCGGTTTCTTGGTTGAGCTGTAACATAAATCATACAAATATGAAACATATAAATTAAGTGAAAGCTAAATAAAACACAATAAATTGCAATAATTTTGTTTACATTTAACAACGTATTACTTCGTGAATTGGTTTTATGTATTCAAAATTGATCGACATTCCCAAAAAAAATGTAATCAACTGTTCTTATGAATTTTTTTTAATCCTAATCCACTCTACATAATAGAACACTGAAAACTAAGTATTGAAGGTTTAATTTTCTTTACAAGTATTTTGCCCCCTTAGTAAGTTTGCCATAATTATCTAATAGTTTTATTAACTTTGTAAATGAGTCATTAATTTGATCATTACCAAGTTTGACTGATTGGTGGTCAGTTGTATTTAGTGTTTCAATTCTTAAGTTCAGTGAATAGTTAGCATGTAATACGGCTTACAATACATAAGTATTGAAACAGGTGATTTTTGAAAGTTAAGTGAATGATGAAACGATTATTCGATCAATTTAAATTTATTTACAATAAAAGTGGATCGGTCGAAGTTAGACATTAACACCTTTGAACGTCGGCTCAGTGGTTAATAGGTTAGGGATTGCCGCACGAGACCGAAAGTTTTGAGTTCGATTCCCATGAGCGGGTGTCATGGATGCGCGCTGAAGACGAGTCCTGCAATAGGACGAAACGACCGTTCAGTGCTTACAGGTTTCTAATGAAAATAAAGTTATGGTTTATACAAAAGCAGAAGTAATGTAGGCACACAACAACAACAACAACATGAGTATGAAGTTCTCATATTCTAGTACTGACTCAAAATGTATCAAACAAATTTCTGAAGCTCAGCAAATAAGAGAATCAATGCAATTTGTGTTGAATATTCAATGGTTTGATCTGAATTTGATAGCATTATTTATCACAAAGAAAATTATGTGATTTTCCTGAATGAAGTAAATACTAACGCAATGATAATTAAGCGATAAACGATGAGCAGCACGAATCACATGAAGTTCAAAGGTTGATCATTCGAAGTAAACTTAGATATTGAATTCTAGTGTATTTCTTATAATCTATAAGGTAGTTTTAAAAAAATCATTACTAAAACAATAAGATTCAATGTTAGATAAAATTTCCAAATTATTATTCAACATACATGAACAACAATGATTTAGACTAGTGATTTTGATTATGCTGAAAATTGTCATTTTAAATATACCAGAACATTTTATTGATTGATTTACGATTATTATTATTATTATTATTATTATTATTATTATTATTATTATTGTTATTATTACAAGGTAATAATGAAATATTAAAATTCCTAATAAAACGTTTAACTACTTACATCGACGAGACAGTCTGCCAGAACATATACTATAATGAAAAAAAAGTATCAAAATATATCAATAGAAAGTGGAATGTGTTGTGAAATCAAGTTAATGCCAAAGAAGCGGACAGCATAACATAAATTCATTTTATTTTCTTAGGTTCTCATCAGCTGCTTCTTATAAACAATGACATTAATAATGAGATAAAATTCTGATAAGCAGAAATTATGGAATGATGAAATCTTATTATTTATTAATTATCATATATTTATTATTACCTTAATTCATATATGAATAGACAATACAACTCTTGGAAAATAGTGTTATCTTTTTAGCTAGAATCAAAAGGGAAATTAATCATATTCATAATGAATGGAAAAAACTAAAAAAATACTGTTTGTTTTATGTTTTGATATCTTTCATTAAAAGCTTGTTAGGGTTTTTACCTCAAACAAATTTGAATCGGAATCATATCAACCAAAATTATGTTGAAATGCTGAAAACCACTACTTAGAGTGTTACTAACATCTTGAACTTTTTTTCAGTAATACCGAGATTTATTCTGTAGTATCAAAACTCCATTCATTCAACAATGAACCTGAGTTGATGGCCATGTAATATCGAGGATTGATAGATGTTAGATGTTAAAACCGTTGAATTTCGGCTTAGTAGTCAAGAGGTTAGGCATTCACGCGTCGGACTGAAGGTCATAGACTCGATTCCCGCTAGTAAGGTAAAGTAAAACTCTTTATCTGTTCAGTGTATAAAACAACATCTCTAGATGATTAACTATCATATTAGGATATGGTACCACTTATGGCAATCTTTATGTAAAGTAACTTAAACTAAGAGGCTTATTCCTTCTATGACTAAACCTTTAAATAACTATGCAGTCGTAATAATTATTAACTCAAAATAGCTTTTCCACCACATTGAATGCTGTAAAATCGGATGCATACCTAATATCCGAATCCATTTCATTGTCAACTTGATGACGTTCAGATAAGGAAGGACTTTTTACAATTGATCGTGACCTTGAAGATCTGGATGTGCAAATTTCATTTAATGGAGCAGGTAATTTAGGACTATTGAGGTCTTTCGAACTGATATTCTGATTTGTTTTCATATTCACTGGTTCCGGAGAACTAGATGAATAGTAACCATTGGCAGGGGAACGAGAAGGTTGTAAGACCGAAGGATGAGGTGAACAAGTGTTTGGACGATTAAATCTATGAGTACAACATGATGGATGACGAACTCTATTATACGGTTTTCTAGTTGTACAATCTAAACCAGATTCACACGAAGAAAAAGCAGGTGAAGTAGTTCCAGAAGTACGAGCAAATTGAGAAGTAATGTTTTTCACATTGGAATTATATCGATTGTCCGTACACGACGAGGATCTAGTTCGCTGATACGAAAGTGCACCAATTAATGATTGCTGTTGTGCCAACCTGCTATATAGAAAGCACAAAATAAAAAAATCAAAGTATAACTATGCAGTTTCATGCTTCGGAAATTTAACTGTAAAGTAAATCTGTCCTTTAACTATTTACAAATGTTTCAACGTTAAGACATGTACGTTACTACTGAACGAAATAATTTAAATGAGTATTATTTCTTATAATTATGCTGATCTCGACATCCTTCAGTGATCACAATTTATATCTGAACATATGAATATATCTTAAGTTATATAGAAATACAAACTTCAGAATTCAGTTTTAATTGACGTATTTTATCATTGTCAAAAAATATGAGGATAATGGGAACAGAAAGATTTATTAATTCATTTCTACGTTTGGCGTAGTATGAGTTGGATATGTAATTATTCGCAGACAGTGTAAGACCCGGAAAAACGTGTATTAATTAAGGGTAATATACATTAGGCCAACATGGATAAACAGAAGAGAAGAGGAAATAATAATAATAATAATAAACACTAGGGATCTAATTAAAAATGAACGAATAAAATGACACTAGGATTAAGATTTAGATCAAATTAAAAAAAAAGAATGCGAATCTTCAAACTCAGATCGATGTTGGATTATCTTCGAACGTCTTTATTCACAGAGGATGATCCGCTCATATGAAAGAATACACCTATTGATATGGCTTAAATCGATAATCAATGACTTCATGAACTGTTTTCATGCTTTTGTTTGGCCATCGTTACCTTACAACCAGAGTCATTCGCCAGGGTAGGAGTATGGAACTATCATGCTCGAAAGTCCTATCTCATAATTAATTCGAGAATATTTTAAATATCCCAACCTGTTTTAACAGACGAATATTATTCGTATCAGAATAATTGTAATTTGTTGACCAAACGTAAATAATGTAATGATACATTTGGAACATTTAAAGGTATAAATAACATTATTTTACCGTTTTAGAGCATTCTCTTCCCGTTTTCTCTCTCTCTCCTGAATGTAAGCAGTTGGATCAAATCGACGATTACCTGTTCAGCATAGAAATACAAAAAAAAGTAACAAAAGAGCCGATTACGTTACGTTCTAGTTTCCCCAACAAATTGTAATGTATAGTCAATCAGTCGGTCAAACTCAACGTACCAGAGTATTGGAGACAGTTACAGCATTGGTGGTCATAGAAAAGATGAGGCATCAAAGATACCTATCGAGAAAATATAAACAAGTGAAATAAAAATACTGAGAAGAATTTAGAAAGATAAGCTCAAAACATGCATACCAGTCTTTAACCCCTGATTACGATAATCATGCGGATGCCAACTAGGTAGTATACACCTGTTAAAATGGCTCAGTACAACTGTCAATGACTTTACAGGCTGGTGCTACGTCTTGGTTTAGTCTCTTTAATCTTACACCGCTCATCAAGGTGGTAGGTCGTCAGGCATAACGAAAATGTAACAAATGTTCCAATCACCTCAGTTGATGAAGATTTATTAACTCATCAATCGATATGCCGACTCGGTAGTCTTAAAATACGCAAACAATCAATTAAAAATACGTATGATCGGCCCAACCTTAGCTGCTGCCTTGACGTGGTGGCTGGGATTGCCTATTGTGATGAACAGCCAAGCTATATTGACTATAACATATGTTGCTTTAGGTCTTGGCATGTCAAGCAGGTCGATTAGAGAACGGTAAGACTAAAAGCAGTAAATGAAGGTCTGAGGGCAAAGTCGTACTGCTGACTGTAGAGGGGTGTGACAGCAGTAAGGTTTTTCCCTCAAACAACCAGCATCTGCAGCAATGTTGCCTTCTCACAATGGAAGTGAAAGGTTAGAAAAGGTCAACCCTGAAAATTTCACACCTCACCTTAACTCGCGGATTTCCATCTCCGATGACGAGGCCTTTCCAAGAGCGGAGCTAACAACGCAAAAACTTCCCATAAGAAGAACCGTGCATAACAGCCCTCAAGTAGTTGTCCCTTGTGCCCTATAGTCAAGCTCCTAGGTCGCCAAGAACAACGCCGATCCGATTTCAAGAAAAACCCTTCCAGTGTGCACAGCCGGAAAGTGTTTAGCATTAAGTCCTAAAGCAGAACTAGCTTTACTGAAATGGATTCCAATAGACTGTCGGTTGCGAGCTGTCTGACTAAACAAGACGGTAAGAATTCGGAAAGATTGGGACGCTCATCATAATCTCTGCATACACTTCCACTGACTGAAGCTCAGATGAGGTAAGAGATTAATCTAGCGGAAAAATTTTCAGCCTTCTTTAAAAAGTTAAGCGCTGCTGTGTAGTAATAATGGTGAGTGATCTCGATCTCAAATAGGTAAACTAAGCGAAAGTAAAAGACACCTGGGTGGATCTTATAGTGTCACGGCCCAGTGAACAAATAATGGCGACAGTTTGCCGCAACTATGTTCAGATAATCGCCTATTTCTGGAGAAAACTGACTTTAAGCAAAGGAAAAGCATCATTTGACATGGCGACCTCAATCCGACGCTAAACCCAACTAGACCATAATACTATAAGCCACTGATTGACGGGCTCCTAAGAAGACTACCGATTATTCTGGAGCACATGTTTAAACTCGGGCCATCCTCCAGTACGAGCACGTACTTGTCTGTGACTTAATGGGTGTGAGAAAGACTCAGTAAAGAAACGCCTTGTATTTTTACTTAATGACAACGAAGCCAAGAATAAATTTCAGGAGCAACCAGAAGAACAGTCAGACAAACAAGTGAATTAAACCCACACCGAGGCAGCTGGGAATGATATCCAAAAAGCTGTGGAAACAGCAACGATATCTTTCAGCAAAGTTAACCATAAGTTTAGCGAGAAGCAGAGGATTTCAGTAGCATCTACCGAAGTAATAGATACTCTAAAACTTGTCCCTTCTTGTTCTGAACACGATGAGGGGGGCAGCTTAAACACAGGCCGACAAGAAGCCTACGCAATGACCATGGACCGTTGGGAGTGACGAGAGCAAAAAAGGAAGAAAAGGCGGCGGCGATGGGCGTCAGTAGACAAATGTTCAGATTTATCAGGGAAACCGATATTAGAAATCCGACTTTTAGTAAGACTATCTCGGAAAATGATGGGACCATTATTCTTTCTCGATTTCGGAGATTGGATGATAAGCAAAACTCTTTAGGGAGCAGTTTAACTGGACTGTGGCTACACTTCAGTTACGTATTATCGCTAATCAACTTGAGTGGCAAATCGATGTAAGCTATGGGCAATGTAAAGCGAGGGAGGACATCAGGACCTGATGGATTAACCCCCGAGATTATTAAGGATGTTGGTCCAGTTTTAGCAGCTAGATTGACTGAGATCTTAGGTAGAATCCGGGAACTGGACGTTATCCAATCTGACTGGTCTCAATCACTGATTGTTTCGGTCCATAATAGGGGACAAAAGTCCTCTTATGACAATCAATAATAATTCGACGCTTACCTAGGACTCGTGAAGAGCAGACTCGAGAAAACGAGGGTGGTTTCAGACCTGAAAGTGGATGTTTAAACAGGATATTCACACTTCGTTAGGTCTTAGAATAAAGACATACTTTCGGACGTCCCACTTTAGCTGTATACCCCTACCTTAAGGCGGCGTTTGGCTCTGTTGATCGTGGAGTTCTGTCGCAGTGTCTGTCATTGAAAGAAGTACATTAACTTTGTACAGACTCTCTACTCCAACACTACTAGTCGAGTCACAGCTATATCGTCTACGTAACAAATGAAACAAATTACCGAAAACTAATTGAGACTTCTGCATCAAAGTGGAGGTTTCATCAAACACCAGGCTATCAGAACTGGTAAGACTCCAAAGATAAATGGAAGAGTCAACACATTCAACTACTTCACTCCTTGTCACTAGTTCAAGTGAAGATGCAAGCCGATCCTGAAGCAATATTTTGCATTTGGAGGGGGAGAATCGCATCCCGAAGATATCAGTATTGTTGTTTAAGGTGGACAGAAGACTTTATTTTATCAGAATCTTCACCAAATAGAACTATATAATCTGAAGATTCTACGTTAACGAAGTCAAACGACAAAATCAAATAAAAATGAGGGAACCGGACAATACCAAAGATGGGCTGTTTTTCATTATAAAAAATTACAATGAAGATATGGCCAAATGCTGCAAACGCAATTGATTAAGTTAAAAATTTTGGTACTTTGTACTCCCAAGTAATTATTGAGACTTAGTTTCTTATATCTGCCAAGAGAAATGAATGTCCCTTGGAAGGGTAAATGTAAGAATGCATTCAAAGACAGGTAGGAATAGGCAACAACAAACTGAATTTTTAGCTTCTTTTTCAGGAACACGTTTCGCGTTCTGTGCTGTATCTACATGTCCATAGTTATTATGGTTCATACATTATTTTCGACTTAGTTGAATATGTACATTAGTTATTCATACAAATTTCAGGGATTTAATTTTTGAGGTGAGCCAATAACCTCTAGTAGACCTGTCATTTGATTTGGTGGTTTCCGGAAATTGGCATAACTGCAGCATCGTTCTCTAACTGATGTCATTTGGAAACTTAAGGGTCCCACGTGCGACAGCAGCACAAACCAGGAGATTATATTTCAAGAAGTTCCAAAGTCTGAACAAATAAAAGATAAGTACATTTTGGCTTTATTATTTCTTGAAATAATACGAGCTCACACTGAACCTTATCTTAAATTTAAAAACCAATGATAAAAACTATTTCATCATACTTTATATATTATGTAGGCATTCAAAGAATATAACGGCTAGTGAAAACAACTTACTGAAATAAAGATATGAAATCTAATAGCACTAATCATGACAAGATGGTAGTTAAGAAAAAATTTACCTGATAACGCTCTATCTAGAGAGTTTGTTCGCTGTTTATAGGGATTAAAAGGCTTGTTTAGAGGATTAGGGCAGGTATTATTAATTTTACTAGACCCATGTGAGAGAGTTCGGCAAATTGTTGGGCTCGCACTACCCGCTCTACGCTTGGCGACGTTCGCTTTGCAATTCAAAAGTGTAAAGATCGGTTCTCGGCTTTTCTGGGATGAAAAGACATTAGACCGGTTGATACGACTAACTTGGTTTGATTTATTGTTTGTACTATGAGTAAATGTCCTCGAGTTGCCAGATTTTCTGTGTAACGAGCTTTGAAAGATAGAAGATAAAGATGGAAAACAAATGGTGGTCAAACTCGAAAGCCTAATATGACGATGTAAGAAATCGGTAAGTCATTATTAGTGACTAGATCGTACAGCATAATTTATAAAGTACATCACCTTAGAACAGCTGGTTTTTTAACAGGTCCCTCTTCGGGTGCAGTCATATTTATGTTGTGATTAACTAAAATAAAGAGGTACACAAAATATACACAGACAAGTAATTTCTCTGCTACAGTGAACTTGTATTGTGAGATATCCAAAATGTCTTTAAAGCACCTCTTAAATGCATTAATACTTGATGTTTTACTAAAGGCAAATCAAATTTGTTCGTATTTGATATTTCTAAAGGCTTCTACCAGTCTTTTGAAAAAGGAATTAGAAATGCAGAATCTTCATAGAATTCAACCTACCCAGTATAACTAAAAATACAAGGGAAATGTTCCAGAGCCAAACAGATTCTAGTTTAGTTATAAAAACCCAGGTCATATAGAACCAAGTTACCTTGATTTTTAAAACTGAGGAATTCGGCTCAAACATATCTCTTAGAACTGGAAATCTTGATAAGTGGAAGTTTTACTCTCTGTGTAATTCAAGTCTACCTAATAAGGATAATGAGTTGCATCGTTCCTCTAACTCTTTGTGCTGATAGTGAAGACTTAAAATGTGCGTTTTGTAACTGCCTGTTTGATAGTTTACCAACTGACGTCAGATAAATTGGATGTATATTAAAAATCCACTCTTATGCTTTGTCATCAGAAATGATCAACGACAAATAAATTCGTTTACGTTTGCGTGAGACATGGAGGACTAGTAGTGATATATATTTAACTAAATAAAAATCACTTATAAGCCGTTTACTCATTGTTCAGTTAGATTTTTTCTGTAATAAACTTTACTTTCATGAGGAATCATCAGTCGAACACATTCACTACCAGTGAAAAATTGGAACGTATTGACAGTCACATTCAGAATATATTTTTGCCACGTAAGTGTAGAAATTTCAACTTACCCACCCTTCAAAAAGTACAGTTCCTCAGATAACTGATCGATTTTACGACGCATCCCCCTTTGATTTATTACCGCAACTTCCAAATCTGATTGCAACCGAGCTATTTCGCGGGTATATTTAACCATTTGGCGCGACGCCTTAGATTTCTCTTCATAGAGCTCTGTCTCTAAATTGTCTACAAATGCTTTGAGTCCTGTGTGCTTCGCCTTGTCAGAAAACTGACAAGGATTTTCACCAAGATGCGTCTGACGACAGGATTTCACATTATTTAGAGATTCTTTGACATAAAGAAGCTCCCTCCTTAAAGCCATATTTTCCGATTGCAGCTTGGATATTCTGAAATCGGTAAATAGGAAGTCAGTTCTTGGGAATCCTGCTAGATGAAAATGACCTCATCAAGCGATGATTGCTTAATATAAACCTCGTACTTCAAGAATTTTTGGAAAAATCGTAAAGTTCAATTACATTTTAAAAGAATGGATGCATTTTATTTGGAAACATTCATGATGAGGGATAGGAAACGAGCAAAAATATATGAACAGAATTTCAGAAAATTTACGAATTAACCTCCCTAGGATAGAAAAAACTACAAGCAACATAGAGATAGGACAATTTTGAACCTTGCAAAAAGATGAAGCATAAAACTATACACTAACACAACGTCGAAAATCAAGTGGATAAATTTCCAGATCGAGAGGAATCACAGAACACTGAATTAAGTCATTAATACTATTGGATAAAACCCCTCAGAAAGCAACATATTCCACTCATAAAAAAGCCTCAATAATGAGACTCTTACCCCAATAGTGTACTTATGTGAAACATTTGGAGTTCCATTTTCCATAAGAGGCTTAAGATAAAGAATGTAATCGATCTACAGAGGGAAGTTGTTGCTGATAATGGGAACTTATCACTATTTAAAATGATTATGTATATGTAATTTTAAAATCCCTACAGAACATCTAAAAACCAAATGATCTCTGAGCAACTGTTCTTGAAAACTAGCTCTCAATTCTAAGTCTGTTAACTTCCAGGTATATTAACTACTAGAGTTAAGGAGTACAAACCGCTATGTTGAACCCAATTAAAATATCAAATTTATTTTATAACATTACTGAGCATAACGTTTTGTGTAAATAATGGTGGACGCATACTGACCAGGAATAAAATATATCATATAAATCTTCAATGCTCCCTACAAAGAAAATTTAAAGGGCCTAGATTTCTCAACCATACCGTAGAATAAGGAGTTAATATTACTCCAACATTTCATAACTTGGAGAAGCTTCATTTTTACACTTTCTCTGGGACTAATTGTTCTAGATGTGGCAGAAAGTGCTTGAAAGTATAAACTACTGAAGCCAAGGTGTTGTTCCATCTTTTCATAGACTAAACGTTTACAGGCACTCCTTACCAGGACGAGTAGTATCGATTGTATCATTGAACACACTAATAAGGAACTGAATATTCTCAGATATACTCAATGAAAACACCAAATAAAGTCGCCTGAAATACCATTTTTATCATCATTAACTCAACAAAATTTCATACTTTGAAATCGCTTCGCCAGTTTCACTCGTATCAAGCTGATGTTCGGGAAAGCTCTGTAACCATAGGATTAAATTTTTCAAGTTACCATTGTTGATCCAAAACTGAATAACTTGACTCGTAATTCGTGTATTATATTTCTGTAGACATCGGGAGTTGGACAACCGACAAACAATAACGGTATAGGGTAATGAATTTTATCGAATTCTGTAGTATACGACAGTATTAAGTATCGCTTATTCCCATTTAGTGTGACAGAACATCGTGGAGGAAGATAATCATTTAAAATCTTTATCCTTCTAATTTCATTAAGATCCTCGTAATTTAGTAAATCTAGTTTGAGGAAATTTGAACGCTAAAGCCAGGTTATGAGAGGATGTACTAACCTTAGATAGAGCCGATTGGAGCATTGAGCAGAATACATCAAACCTTTTGAAATTTCCAGTCTTCCTGGTTAGTTCCTCAACGACTAAAAGGTCGAATGTTAGAAAGTCACATTTAAATACATGATTCAGTAAGAGTACCATGCCATTCCTCATTTGTGATGCGGTTAGCTAACTCGAGTTTTAGTTGGGTGGGATTTTCCAGATATAATGAAGTATCATATACTTTTCCACTAAATTCGCATTCACAGTACAAATAGGAGGGGGATTCATGAACCATTCCGCGCATTATGTCAAACGAGTGCCGATCAACTTATGTTGTAATCCCGCGACAAGTCTTAGCGACCAATCACGTTATGTCTGAGGGTCATAAAGGTTACAGAAGAAACATAATTTTTTGATTTTCCGCATTCACTACAGCTTCCAATATCCCGGAGGGATTATTTATAGTTTTTCCTTACACAGCCTGTTATTTTTTAGAATCATTTACCGCTATACACGTTTTTTAGGTATCTCCTTTCATTTACCCAATAAGAGGGCTGTGATCTGGTGATGGGATGCTTGATCGTTCAACAAACCCTACAACCCGGAATAAAATGTATTTTCTCATATCAAAAAAACTTAGGAATAACATTCAGTGCGACCAGAACTATTTCAGTGGACTGGCTTGACTACTGTCCATTCTGCTATATCAAAGACATGTTTCGAGAATAAGAAGTCTCTAGACTATACAGGATCGTCAGAAAGATATGTAATTTTGAACGCCTTGTACCATGATCTCTCGTATATATCATGACGGCGACAATCACTTTGTATGCAAACGTTTGGAAGTTTGAAAGTACTAGAATTCGACCAAGAGTATAAAATTAAGTGGTTTGGTATATGAACAGAGAGGATATACCGCTGACTGACTATTTAAAACGGGATAAAACTAAGAAGACTCTATCGGCGGTACACATCAATAGAGTCTTGTTCACACAGGAAAGTGTCCTTTCAAAATCTACTATGACAGATGTTCGACCATTTGTGAATGGAATGGAAGGAGCTTTTACTTTACAAGCTTTCTTATACAGTAATAGTGAATCACTGATAATTGCAAGTAGAAACCCAAGTTCATTTGATCAGTAGAAGGGAAATATTGTCAAATAATAACGAGCTACTATCTCGAGTCGTCAGAAATGTCAAGTTTCCTCTTGAGGATACTTAAATAAGCCGCTTGAACCAATTCAGGCTTTAGAAAATCACAACACCCTACTATTAATAAGAAGTAGAAAGTTTACTTACTGTTCTCTTTGCTCCTTTGTTTCTCTAGTTTATGCACATTTCCGATACGATTTGTGTCGAGACCGAACATAAGTATGTGTGTCGGAGGATGTTGAAAAGCGTTAAGCATATTATGAGTCATTAAATTGGGTCCTCGAAAATATTTCGTGACTCACCCCAAAATACATTGTAGTGCATCACTTTCCTTTTAGAGTGAGAACGGGGAACACTATATTTACATCTTGTATTTGGGGTTGAATGAAACTGATAAAGGGCAGTATGGGCTTCATACTATTAACTGGCTTAAAATGTACTGAAATGTTACCATTGTAAGGCTTCATGACAGAATCTCACTCACCTCCATTAGAATTTTTGCAGGCTGTAGTTGCGTTTCCAGAGGCTCTGAAGAAGGACCAAAGTTTACCAAGTGAATTGGACACCATCGACCTAACGTCAATGCCAAGTTTCAGCATACACTCACTAGTGTTGTTGCCTGTTTCACTAGTACCCATATTGTTGAAGACCCGTTTTCTTCTCTCTAAACGCCATTATCTGCTTAACCTATGGAGGACTGGTATTTCCACGATTAATGAATATTTCCTCCACAAACTTGATCTGAGCATGATGACATTTTTCAGAAAATACTCGGCATCTATGTAGCACGTGCCACATATTCGGTTGCGACATGACTCAATGGATATGTTGTAGGCAGCCCCTGTGAATTTGTGCAAACTAGAGGTAACTTTGGGACTGTAACCCGGTCATTTACTTAGGCCCTTCGTGACCACAGTGCTTTGTAAGTTATGAACCAAATTGGTATGAAAACTTATGATAAATATTTTTTTCTCAGTTTTCGACTATGAAAAAGTTCGTGTTTGTTATATATGATACATAAATTTTTGTTTGACCTACAAAAAGCATAGCGTATTTCGTCTGTTGCGAAAGTTTGAATTTCGGTAACTTGCTCACCCCGTGTTTTGTCAATTTACATATTTTACGTCAAGGACTTATGTTCATCTAGAATATTTTTCAATCACATTAAATCACGGTTACTGATGTAAGGCAAGACGTACATATATTGTTTGATTCCTCGTAAAACTAAAGTATTAGTTAAGAGCAAAGCTTACTTTTTTTTTGAATACTTGTAGCATAGAGTCCCTTTTTCATGGTGTTTCGTAGCAGATTTGGCGACGTGCTCTTATCGTGCGGAACCCGTGTAACACGCAACCGATGACTGATTTAAGAACACTAAAATCCACATATAATCATACCAGTTTTATATTTTGTGGTGTTGTTGCTAGCATAGTAAATATTACTTTATCTTAGGTTTCTGGTAGTTCGGAAATTGCAATGGGTCAAGTGTTCAGAACCTTCAACTGCCTAAATTATTTATCTATGCTGTATTACGGGATGCCTAGTTTTTTTTAAGTGCCAGTTATTATCGTATGCAAAAGCTCTTCGTAATATACATCCTATATGGTCTTAGATTATATAACTATTTGGGAGATATCGAGTTCTCAAGTTAAACGCTACAAAATTCTTATTTATAGACCTAGGTAGTCAAAACATCACGCTTTGTATCGATAGCGATCGTTTGTGAATGACTACAATGCATGTATTACACAACACAAATTACCTTGATCCCGGTGGTTCAAGCTCGTATCAATAGAATGCAGCTTACCACATCATTATTTGACCATTGTCCTCTCACTCATGAAATATTACTATTGGTAGTTTCACTTAACATTTTGCATATATTGCAAAAAAAGTTTACGATGGTTTATCATGGATTGTCTTATTCAATGTTTGTTAGTGAGATTTCACCTTACTGTGAAAAATGATGGAAAATGTAGGTTATTTACATTAAAACCTGAGAAACAACTATTATTTATGGATGTGACGTTAGTAGATGATAAACAAACTGGAATTAGCTACTTTAGTGCCACTCCACAAAAACTGCGAGCTATCCACGAAAGCCATGTCATTGTGTTCTGATATTTTGGCTGCAGTTCGTTCAGGATGCCGCCATATCCTCCGAGTTTATCTGGTGCCATAAATTGACATTTTTCCTTAGAATCTCTATTTTCATGTTTTTTTATTCAAAAATTATGTCAGTCGGTCAGTTGTAGCCAATATTAAACTTAGGATGCTTTTAGAAAAGTACTTACACTAATCAACATCTCATTTTCCTTGTTTCCAAGCCTTTAGTAAATTAAAAAACTGGTTCTCCATTTTGCACTGATTCAACAACTGCTTAACCCAGAAACTATATTTTACACTATCTTTTATGACTGGTTGAAATTTTGATTCTTGTTAATGACCCGTCATTACTTTAGTGATTAACAGTTGTTTCAATTTTTACTAGGTTATCGAGAAATGTCAGAAGAAAACGAAAGTGAGTGTGAAGAATACCTAAATATTGTCAAGTTGTCTTTGGAAGAAGATAAAAGTCATGTTCATGTTCTTGTAATTATTGGGGCTTCTGTAAGAAATACTAAAACACCTACTCATAATACACATTGTAGGGTGATTTAGCAAAGAAAAAGACTTATCCGACTTTATGGTAACCTAATAATTAACTTTTTTTACAATCAAGGTGGTTGTTCCGTGATGGTCTGCTGCCCCCTAGAACTTACTTTGTCGGGTTCGCACGATCTGATATTGGTACTAATGACATTAGAAGGGCAAGTGAAAAACACGCCAAGGTAAGATCATGTTTTTATAACCTTATGTAAATTTAATACCGAATAGTGTAAATTCGCGTTTCCATTCTACTAGCAAACTTCTGTTGTCACCTAAATTTTTAAAACTACTGTCAGGGTTGAATTCATTCAAATCTATGTGTTGATTTCTTCAATACATTCAGTCTCTATCTATGCTAGTATATCTTAGCGAGCATTCTTTGTAAAGTCCTATTGGAATTCACTGCTGTACCTTGCTGAAATATAAGGTTGCCCCTTACATTTGACTATGATTTGTATTTCTTATATATATGTTTATAATTCTCCCTTATTTATTTTCCTGTCTCATTGATTTCTCTTAATATTGATGTAAAATGTGCCAACTTGAACCGACACAGATTCATGCTAGGTTATACTATAGTGACTGACTGGTGCATTTGACTTTTGTGTTTAGTCTTTTGAACAAAGTATGTATATTGGTCATACTTCTTTATTCCTTCGTAACGTTACAATATTTTCAGTTCTGTTCATCACAAAATTTTGTAGTTATTTTATTTACTGAGTACAGCTGTTGCTATTTGGCTATCAGTCATCTAGGTTTTGCTCCAAAATCGTCCCACTTCTCTTAATAGATAGTATGATTAGTAAATATGACGATGAATCGCTTCGTTCATTATATGCTTGTGTAATTATCTATCGACATTAATATTTTTTGGATATTTGTTGCAAATATTTGTTCACATACTACCTTACCTAGTACATCATCATGACATTTTCATATCTGCAAAATAAAATAAGTGAAATTCCTCAACTCCAATTTAAATACATGTATGTAATACTTTATGGTTTGTAGTATGCAAATTAATAGTCAATGTTAAAGGTATATCAATAAAATTGTCCTCGTGGGAGTTGGTTATTTTCAGCTTACTTGGAAAAATTTTCAGAAATAAACTAAATATATCCTATAAAATTTCCAGTGAATCAGATTACCTTTTCAACGCAAAACACTCATCATGAACATTGTTGTTCTAAGTTAATTAGTTAGCTTTTCATAATATTCTACTTTGTACATAACTTTTATTTGGTTTCTGTCAGCTTTCATGTGCTCCATGTCAGAAATATGAAGAATTTTGGGAACGTAATTTTTACGTGAGAGGAGATTACACAGATTCAAAAACGTTTGAATCATTAAATACGTTTATAGAATCTAAGTGGGGAAAAGCTATTAATCTCATATTTTATTACGCTATACCACCATCCGTTTATGAACCTGTTTCATCATCTATCAAAGAATATTGTACTTCTAAAACGTAAGCAATTTTTCACTTAGTTGTACCTATAGTAATTATTATTGATTGAGTTATTTAGCAGTTCAATTTTTCTTTATAGACTATGTATAGATACAAGGATAATTGACTTTTAAAATAAATAAAGAAACAGATTATTTTATGATCAAACTATAATCATAGCCCTTATAATTACCGTATGAGATTTTCATATCGATGATAGTTTACCTTTCAATTTATTCTGTTCATCGATATGACTGCTAAATAAATACATATTTGGATTTTAAACTAAATTGTTATTAATTTACATTTTGTCATTGTAACAACTGAAATTACTGTATTCATATGATTATTAAAAGTTCAAGCCATGAATAATTAACATCATTATCCCGATCGGTCATATTTATTCAGAATGTTACCATTTCAAAACCAATTAGGTCTTAATACATCACTGTTTGAATTTTGTTCTATGAATATACTTTTAAATTTGGGTTAGTGCTAAATTTTATTAACATACCTTGTGACTGACTACATTGTAAATTTATTTCATCATGCATGATTTAATCTCGGAATTTCATGTTTTATTTAAATTAGAATATTTCTGGCTAAAATTCAATAGCCTTAAGATTTAAATTTCTCCAGTATCTCCATAATCCCAAAGCACTTTGGATACCTTTATCTTCCATATGATGAAACGACGCCTACAGATTAGGCATTGGATAATAAATGACCTACAAGCTAATTTCCTCTAATCACCTATAAAATCTCGTTGTTTATTTCGTGTTCATATTTTGTATATGAGCATGTTGTTTTATTACATAAATTTATTGATCTGGCGGCCTTGGTTTTGATTTCTATTCAATTGGCAGCCTATGTCAATTATACGGTCTCATGAGAAGCCATCACTTGGTCACATTGTCATTGAGTTCATCTACAGATTAGCATTCTGTTCATTGATTTTAATTTTCGAAATTTCGTCTAATCAAATCACATAAAACCTCTTCACCATAAAGTTTGAGAAAAATATGTTTAAACATGTCAATACCAACTAAACAATTCGATCAGAAATGAACAGTGGTAGATTATCGTGAGACAAATTATCACTAAGTACATATAAATGTATAATTCACTGGCATTCCAGGAGTTATTATAGTTTTTAGATTCAATGGGTAACGAAATAAATAATGGTAATAGATAATGAGAAATATTTAGCTTGATTCCTCTATACCATAGGCAAATAGTAATAAGGTTTCACTTAACCATGTTGCTGAGTAGCTATGGTTCGTGTGTTGATAGGAAAAATTTAAATTTTTCAAACAGCTAAGCTAAAACTTAATTTCATTATTACATTCTGAAGTTTGTGTACTGTTAAGAATCTAGACTGAATTGCTAGCTTACACGTGAAATCTTGAATTCCGTTTTTATTATTTGTTTCAAGTAATTCATAACACTGAAATGACACAACATTCATATATTAACTGGATTATAGTTATACTAGCACTGAAAAACAGCAGTACTTCGAATCTTGACAATTATATTTTGAGGTTAATGAGTAATTTTAGTTGTTTTAAACCAACCCGTTACCTTCATTGATTAATGTATTTTGTCTACTGCAATAAAACTTTCTAACTGACGATATATATTTTGCTCCGAATAAGTTTATTAAATTCTACAGGATAAAGCGTTGCTAATCAAATCATCAATAAATGTTTACTTACCTCATTTAGAAACTATACTTTTTTTCACTAGTTTGTACTGTTAAACTTGTAAATAACAAAATAGCCCTTGAGGTTACACTTATTTTCATTGGTTAATTTCATAGTCCACATTGTTTTGTTTGCTGTTTCATAAGGTGATTGCTACAATGAATCAGTAAATATGCTTTCATCTTTTATAAAGATAGCACCAGTTTTCTCTTCAAATCCATTTTCTATTTTTGTTTATCTTATGTAATATTTTTGTTTGTCGATTTGTGTTTGTGTTGCTTGTTGAAATCATAATGTAACAGTTATATTACAAACTTTTGACGTTTTGAACTATAGTGAACTATTAAACAACAATGATGCATATGTTTTCATTTCTCTTAGCAATTTACATTCCCACTTTTCGATTTTTTTCATCTCAGAATACAATATTTGTATGAAGCATAATGACACTAAGATTATTTTCTGAGTTTTTCTTTGTTGTTGAAATATTGTCTTCATCTTCAGCAAGTGAATAAAGTTCTTTATATTAAGACTTACTTTGTATTCAGAAGTTAACTTTCAACAAATAATATTGCACACATTGAATGTTTGTAATTTTAGTAAATATTTATCTTATACTGGTATAATTTTCATAGCCCTGATACATGGACTCGATTAATTATTGAAAAACCTTTTGGACGAGATTTGAAATCATTCAATGAATTGAATTCTGTACTGACTAACCTTTTTACAGAGGAACAGATTTATCGAATCGATCATTATTTAGGCAAAGAGATGGTTCAAAATCTATTGATTTTACGGTAAGTTTTTTTTTCTGTGATATTTTCTGTTATTAACTCCCTTGTATTTATTTATTATTTATTAGGCTAATTGTATTCGAATAAATAATGATGGTAACACATTTTGCCAGTTGTGTGGTTGTTAAAAAGGAGGAAGATCAATCCACAGTGTAAGATAATCTGGACATTTTTAACAAAGACTTATTTGCACCCGTTTACTTTTAATCGGTAACGGAATTTTATTGGAATATATTTTAAGGGCTAACAGAACAATACAAAGACTATGTGCATTATGTCAACGTATCTCATAAATCTGAAGCTATTTTGACCAACTCATATATTCTGCTGTGATGTCAATAAATCATAATCTTTTATAGGTATATACACTAAAATTCACCATTAATGGGTGCAACAGACATCTACATTGTGACACTCGATGAATAAATCAAACATTTCGATATAATTAGAATGCATCTGACTTATAGATAGATTGTCGAGCTAATAATCCAGGCGATTGCTTCTTATTCATACTCTCTTTTGATGTTGAATTTTCTTTCGAGCTTCAATAATAACAAGTCAAACTGATAAAAGTTGTCTAAATCAATATTATAGTATTTACCTTTTGTATTCAGTTCAAATACACATGTAATTTTAAGACATAATGTAAGACGTCTCTGTACAATCAGAACATTTCAATTTTGGAATATATGTACAAGTCCACCTATTTTATCATGTTTAAATGAATGAATATTTGTGTTATAATCTATATGAATAGTTTGTTTAAACCAACAAATACTTTTTAGCTGTTAATTATTAACGGTTGTTCATTCCAAACTTCCATGTGACAAACTTTGTCGACTCAAAAAACAAGTTTTACAAAATAAGATGAATTTATTTCATTTTATGCTTTCAGCGGCTGAAAGCACTCTAAAACATACCTAAGATAATTAAAATCCGAACACATTTTTGTCACCAGAATAATAATTCTAATCTGTGGGTTCGATTCAGTTACAACGTACACAAACTTCATAATCACTTGATTTAATCGCAAAAAAAAATGAAAAAATTGGATTTTGGTTTAAAAGCATTTATTGCAAAAACCAGATAATATTATACACAAGATGGTGGAGAAAATTTGTAGCTCAGGTGGATGAGCTCAGAGAACGAAACATAACCACAATTATACACAAGTCATGGGTATTTGTAAATTTTTCTTCACAAACTCAGATAACGGCTGGTAGGCTGGACTCCATAACTCCTGCCCTCCCTCCAACATCATGCCTCATTTGTAATCTCTCACCTACGGTTGAGGCTTAACTTTCTAGCTTCTGAAAAAGTACGTCATGTATCCGTAATTCTCCTGTCTAACTCCTCATCCGCCTAAAATGATTTTCATCCTATCATCCATTTAAAGTGAGAATATATCTTTGGAGGAGACAATAAAAGACAAAAATTTTAAAGCCAAATGCAGTAACTTTACAAGAAAAAACTCTGAAAAGTTGTCATCTGATAGAATATTAAAATCAATAGACAATGGTAAACAGAAATTGAATGGAATTGCAAAGTTATGCTGTTGATTAAACAACAATTATGCTTTTATTCAATTTTGTTGTTAAAATACTTTTCGATAAATTTCTGGTAAAATCTTATTTTAGTTTATTTTACTCATTATGTTTATTACATAGAATAGATTCCCTGGTTAATTTAGTTTGTTTTTTTGATTTTCTAGATTCTGTAACCAGGTCTTTAGTCCACTATGGAATCGTGAAAACATTGACAATATTACAATATCATTTAAAGAACCATTTGGAACTGAAGGACGTGGTGGATATTTTGATCAATTTGGAATTATTCGGTAGGTTGGAATTCCTTTTCATTTAACACAATGTATTTAAATGTGTCTAATTATAAGGTTATGAATAATAGCTCATTGATATGCAATAATATCTGATTGATTTAGTGAAAAGTTGTTCAATTTTTCAGTTATATGATATGATATGCTTGACGTTTGTATGAGTTTGACATTATGTATAGAGATGTGAATAAATATATCTGCAGAATCTTAGGCTGGGATAAAACAGTTACTCAGTTGTTCGTAGCTTTCAATGGTCTTGGAATCATTGTTTTATGTGATAATTTACACATATCAGTCATTTCGACAACAGTTACCATCAAGAGTTAAAGTCAATTGAATAACTAATAAAATCAATATTAGTATGAGCAGTGATATTTTTGTATATATCAACGATAAAGTAAAGCAAATATATCATCATGTCACTATTAAATAAGCTATATTTTTAAATCTTAGATAAATGAAATTCTCAGCAAATTCAGTAAAATTGTTATTCAGTTACTGACAATAAGCTGAAGCCGATCAGTCAGTTACTTGGTGTAAAAATAGATCTTCAATGATGTTGCTTATGTGAACAATCTAACTATCTAGGTGATTGGTTGTAAAAAAATATGATTCCTAACAACAATATATTCATTGAAATTATAAATCGATCATTGTTAGACCACCATTAGAAATCTGAAAGCATTGAACGACCGGTTCGTTCTAGTATGTGACTCATCAGTAGTTTGGAATGAAAAACAATTTATTCAACATGATTCAAGTACTTAAGGTAATTGATTAAAAAGATATTCAACTAACGTATCTTTATGTGAATGAAATAAAGATCCGTGTACAAAGAAGTGCTTAGTTGAGCAAAAGAGATTCTGATAATAGATGCCAAGCAATTTAGAATTTGATTTTGCAAAAAAGTGATTCACACAAATATTGTTAGGTATATCTAGTCAACTTTGTAACTGACTGACTGATTTAATCAAAGATACAAGAAAATGAAAGATCTAGTACAGTTTAAGTGAACTCATTTCAAATCAACATTGTTAGGACAAATTGACACTAAAAGCTTCAATAGAATCCAAATAATGATATCGATTATAATACGAATTGAAACGATAGAAATAAGAATTTTTTTGTGAAAAAAGTCAAACGAATAACATCAGCTAATGACAATTATAATTCAATACAAATAACGTCCGATGAAGTGAATATAATGAAGTAATTAATAACTCATTCTTTAAGACATTTTAGTTTCAAGTCATATCACGTATCATTTTCTTAATTATTCATGATTAATGACATATTTAAATTTAAATATGTTAAAATTGGTCATCAGTAATTAAGTATACTTTGTCATTATAAAAAATACATTGTCCAAAGTTATCAATGTAAACAGAGTTATGTAAATTGATGCGAGAAATTTCAACAAAACTCTATATAATTATTTTAAAATGATTCATCGGGATGTTGCATAATATTATCAAAAGCAATTCCATCTTACAACATGCTTGATTATTATTAAATAACATTTTTACATGTTATTTCAATAGATAATATATTATGTTAAAAAAAAAAACGTCTTTCTGTCTTTCTCATACTATTCCCATTACTAGTGATGTTGTCCAAAATCATCTCATTCAAATCCTTTCATTGGTAGCAATGGAAAAACCTATTTCAGTTCATGCAGATGATATACGTGATGAAAAGGTGAATTGTAATTTATTTTTGTTTATAATTTCATTATTACCCCACTACTGAAATTGCGGGATTAATCTTGGTTAAAAGTGAAACTATTGCCACCGATGGTATTGAATAATCATTGTGTCATATTCTCATACATTGATCGCAGTTAAAATTATGCCACTGGACGCCAACCAAGTAGTTCAGTTGAATAAGTGTTTACTGCGAAAACTGAAGACTCGGGATTCAATCCCTAACAGGGTCCTTGGTGATCGCTTTTGACTAGTTTCAGATTAGAATAACATAGCTGTCTAATGAGCGCTGAGTTTCAGTAGTACTGGCGGCCTGCCTTAATATCTCGGTTGCCTGTTTCCCAATATTAAAACATTTCAACAAATCACCCCTTTTTGTTTGGTTTAACACATCAATTATGTCTGCTAATCGTGTAATCTATTCAAGCGCGTATATAAAAGCTTTACGAGCTTTAAGGAAACTCAGCATTAGGAAAGCTTTATAAGCTATTGTTTCGCAACGTTCGAAAAAGCACAACCTGAAACATATCTCGATGGCTGGCATTCTTCTGACAAAAGAATAAAGGTTAATAAGACATCGATTCCTGAACTGCTCACTCCCAACTGCCTATCACTGATTGTTTGGTGAAGCAAACTTGTTAAAATATATTGTGCTGATAATCCGCTGTTGTACTAAACGCATAATATTAAATAAAGTCATTATTATTATTACTATTATTATTATTATTATTATTATTACTCACTCTATGAGGAGTACAGTCTACAAATTAAACCAATCTCTGCAAAACCACTTCAACCAAACTAATACTGAATTATTTTTTTCAATGAAAATTTAAACTTAAAATATTATTAGTAGTACTGCAAGAATTTGGATAAGAAACTTAGTGAAAAACATTAATCATCTTGTAACGAGTTAGGCATGCATATGCCCATAATACATCTAGCCTAATAGTTACTGGATTGTGTATTTTCCTAGTAGTTCAATCAGTATTTAAACAATAAAATATCCACTCATAAAGTCATATTTAAGAATGGAATTCTTTAATTTGTTGACTATCTTGTTTGATTCGTGTTTATCTAAACAACCTTACTTCATTATAAAGATTCTTCACTTTGATCACAAACACATTTTAAATTTGCTATGCTAAATATAATAAGTCACTGTACCATATATCTTTAATAACCATGCAACTATGTGAATGCTAGGAAAATAGTCTGATTCTAATGACAACATCTTTATATAATCTGAAAGCAGATAACTTAATAATTACAGATTGTTATTTTTAGTTTCTTAATGCTGTTCAGATCCCAACATAATTTAAATCTTATTTTTTTAAGATATTTTCAATATAAGTGTGAAAATAGTATATTAAATGACTTCTCTATTAATTGACATCTGACAATCAAAAATGTGTAATTTGATCAATCTTTCAAGTCATACAATATCAGACTACATCTTGTTCAACGTTACACGTTTTAAGTGAAATAATTAGAAGCCTTGATTGTGCTTTTAAGAAGTAATGTACATTTCATATGAAACTATTGCCTCATTGTAAATTAGCACCTATATGTTCTGTGCATATAGTATAAGAAGTATTTCATTCATCATTATATCCATGTCAAAGCGTCCTATACAATAAGTATCGGTTCATAAATGTTCAGTTTAATTGTTAGTTGAGTTTTGTTGATCAGTCCATACAGTAAGAGTTTTCATAGTTAAGTTTTCGAAAGCAATTAACAGAAAGCCCTGAATGCTGTGGTCTTTAAATTAGCTGGCGCTCATTAGCTAGGCGAATACATAGTTAAGTTCCTCTACAACATTCATAGATAATAACATCAAGTCATTCGAGCTGTAACTGATCTCCTTTTCGACTAAAACGTTTACGTTAGTTAATCTCTCAGTAATAACCAACGTTGTACAGTCTACCACCTATTCCTAATCTATTCCTATTTATTTCGTTGAAGTCTGACTTCCATTCTAAGTAGTTTTATGTCGAGATCCATTTCGTTTGTTTCATACCATCTTCTACTCATTAGTAAGCACATCATTGATTATTACTAAGTGACTAATTAGTGTACAAGCAATTTTCTTGCTTATTTCATTGTTCATAACTAATTTTTCTTGTAAATCAATAAAATTTTCGTTTTATTTCATAGCACAAACGAGTAACAAAATTTACTCTAGTTAAATTGACTAAATATTCACATGATTTTTTGTGCACAAGTTCATTTAAAACTTGAATATATAACATCTGAGAAATTTGTTATAGTGAAAATAGTAAACTGTGTTGAGTAACTGTAAAAATCAAATAACCTAAATGGTGATTATTTAAACGTTATGTTCATGAAATATTTTATTAATAGTATCTAAATTGTAGTCCAATTAATTTTAATTATTCTAATAACATCTAAGGAATTGAAACAGATTCTAATGAAACAGATAGTTTACATAATCAATAATAAAGTTCAAAGTCATTTTATGTGATCAGCAGTTGACAGCAACTAAATATACATAAAAAAACAATAGTCGGTCACATTAAATTGAGAGGTTGTGTATGCCAAAGCTTTCTGAATAACGTACGAGGTGTGGTGTGCGCTACTTATAAGTAGTATATGATGCGAGTAAAAACGTAATGTCTAGCAGCAGAAGATGGGGGAAGATCAAGAAAGGAAGAGTAGGAACACAACGTGCCTAATTATATCTCGTGTTTAGCTGGTCATACAGAGTCAGTTAAATGGGCATATGCCTATAAAAAAGATAAATCGAGAAGGCTCGTATGTTTTCCTTTTTGTTAAGATCGAAATATTGATCAATATGGCGTACAGTTTGATCTCGGTAAACACTCTCTGCAGAACACTTCTTACTCCCTTTGTTACAATCTCGCTAGTCATGTTACTTTCTAAGTCAAGTTTCACAAATAATGATTTATAAAAAAATTATCATCATTCAATATTTTCTCTTTAGTTTATTCATATAGTTGGTCTAAAAATTCAACCAGATATTCATTTATACTACTTAGTTTTCGAATAGTATTTAACTGTTTTACTGTGTTATCATTGGAACTTACAAGCTTAGCACAATGAGTCCGAATTTTCAATAAACTATTTTTGTATCTAGACTGGATGTAGGAAGCCATTGAAGAGCAGATAAACGTTAGTCAAAAACTAATTAACAGGGATAAATCTACCGCAAAATTTCATAAATAATAAAATATATAAACCAATATATAAAATAACAACAGTTTTTCAAAAACCTTAATTTTTTTGAGTTTGAATACAAAGATGACATCTTCAATAGGATCGTTGATATAATTTTAAGATCGGGTAATCTAGAACTATTTGTAAACTAAGTCCAATGCTAGACAATCCTAAAATAGAAACACGTAAGAATGTGTAGCGTGTAATTAGATTTTTTAATTTGAGCAGATTTCATTTAGGTTAACAGCGTTTGCATATTATCATCTCTGGATTGTTGTTGCATATGTTAGACATTTTCTTTTTAAAGTCTCACTTATTCATTATTTATTGATCAGTTTAAAACAGAATGAATACACTGTCATTATAGTTAATTACCTAAATATATTGGTATCAATTAAAAGGTTAACTTTGTGTTCATTTTAAATAAAAATAAATTATCAATGTATAAAGTAAGTAATCTAAATTGAGATGTGTACAAAGTGTTAATTGTCCTGGACAATTTATTGAATTTTTCAATTATCCAACATTTATTACGCTATTTGATTTCTGTTTTGTTCTATCAGTGATCTTTCTTTCGCTGAATATTTATACTTCAACATATTTTTAAAAACCTTATCTTCATAAGAAACTGATATTATCTACTGGAAATAAAGACAACTGACTTCTCATAATTTGCAATTCATCATCACGACCCTGGCATTGTGTATGTGTCAAGACCATTAAATGTCGAGTCAAATAATTAATTGAATTTCGATGAATTTGTGACGTAGTATCATCATCATCATCGAATACTATTGAGTAGTTATTGCGCCGTTACTCTGAATTCGACTGAATTCATCAATAAATCGTGATGGCTTTCGATCAGAACATTAAGGAGTTGTCACTTAATGTACACCATTTACCATAAATATTTTAGTATTTCTTAACTAATAGCACTTATAACTGTTTAATACTTATTCCTTCTTCAATGAAATTGAGTTTTCCTTTTTTGTCTGTTAATATCTTGATCACTTGTGCTAATTATATTTTGATGTTTAAAATGTGAAATATTAAGTTCATCTGTCATTTCTAACATAACTCATTTGGTAGAGTTTAAATTTCATTTAAATGATAAATTTTAAATAAATAAATAATTAAGTAATATATTTTTCTAAATTATGGTTATCTGAAATTATTTCATCTAACACAATGATATTAATAACAAGTATTTATATTCATATAAATAATTTAAAGAAAAACTTTTGGAGTAATCGATAAAGTTTATATTTCACACTATAAATCGTATCTATATTGTTCTGAACTATTTCTTAAAAATTATTCGAAATTACGAATCGATCATTGTTAGACCACCACTAAAAACCTGGAAGCTCTGGACGACCGTTTCATCCCTAGTATGGGACTCATCAGTGGCGCGTATCCATGACTGTCACTTGCGGACGTCGAACCCAGAACCTTCGGTTCCACACGCAAACGCTTAACCTCTAGGCCACTAAACCGGCATCCAACGGTGTTTTAATGTCTGTGTTTAATCAATCCAGGCTATTGCGCAACGTCACCAATTGTCTTCAGTAGGTAACTGCCTACACCAGAGAGAGTTGCTCACCAGAACTCCGATAATTTCCTCATGAAGCCAGTCACTAGTGAGCACATTTTTAAAATGATACAAATCGTTAATGTAAGAGATCATAAATATTATTTCAACAGGTGTGTTTTTACACAGTATCAATATTCCATCAACAATTCAACTATATCCATCAGCTATGTGATTTATTTCTATTCCATAATTGTTCTTGTTTTTTATCAGTATTTTCCTATGTAAAATTCTTCATTTCAGTTGATTGAACTAAATTAATGCTTATAAATTAGTAAGTAGTGTGTATACGTCACAATAGATTATGTATCTGATTTTATCACTGGCGATATAAATTTTTTTAAACTACGTAAAAGCACATGAAGATCGATAACAAACCATTCGAAGTTCGTTTCATTTTCCCAGGTGCTTTTCAATCTTTCTTCATTCCTATGCATATTCCACAGAGATATTACTGAAAGAATAGACAGAATAGTTTGTTGTTAATGCTCCTAAGAAACCATATAAATTTTTTTTTAATTCCAGCTACATTCAGTGAATCTTTCTTTTTTTTTCCTATATCACAAATTTTCTTGTTGTCAAAATACTTTTTGATTTATCCCTAACCTCCTGACCACTCCTTTATAAAATCTCTAATAATAAGGCTATATTTAAAAAAACTAACCGGTTTGTTCACTCTTTTATCTGTTCTCCAAATGATATTAGCTTGTAACAGTTATTGGAAAAGACAACCACTGCCTTCAAATTGGCTAAATTTCTACAAATTCACTTACCTGAATAACTAGTCTTTAATTTACTCAATGTGAATTCAAATACTTGCCCATTTTGTTCAAGTGATTAAGTTTTATCAAAATAACTTTGATCAGATAATTTGGCTACTTTGTAGTTCATACTACTAGAGTTGGGTAGTGTTAAAATGTTATTTGAAGATTCCACCGACTATCTCTTAGTTCAAAGACACTTTTCACTTAGTTTACATGTATCTAGTTGGGTTTGATTTTTATTTAACTTTCCATTGAGTACTTCCAAAACACATTTTCTATTCTAAATGTAATATATAATTTCATTTGTTTAGAAAATATTTTGGGCATTCCTTTTTTAAACATTGTTATTAGTAATCTTTGGTTTTTTTTGCGCCTTACTATTATTATCATAATTAATACTATTCATTTTTCAAATAATCCCCTATAATCAAAAGTTATTACTTTTGATTTTTTTTTTGGGTGGAACCATTAGAGAGCGAAAAAAGAACAAACAAATAAATGCAATTATTTTGCTGTAATTAGATAACAATTCTTTTTTGTCGTCTCTGCATTTGTTAGTAGTTTATTGAACAACAGATAATAAGGCGACCAATATAAATTTTAATATAATTCACTATTATCTATATAAATACATTATGGTGTCGTTCGATGTTTCTCTACACAATTAGACTGTAAATGTATAACTAATTCTTTATCTATATATTTAACTGAGAAAAAAAATAATCAAAATGTGGTTATAATTAATTAGCATGAAATCTAAACAAGTGACATATTACATAATTTGCTGATAAGATGTTTTTCATTGGTTTAAAATTATTAATTATCGATCTCTTCACTGCTATTGTATACTAAGTATTTTGTTAAAATAGATCGTTCATTTTGTCCATAATGAATGTGAGATATAAAGCATTCATCATTGTGATCATTTTTCATCCTAATTTAATCGAATCCATAACACTTAGAGTATCAAATTTTTCATACATGTATGTATATATTCAAAGCAGTATGATGAAAATATGCGAGTGAAATTCATCGTGATTCTTTCGCTGTTAAACATTTGATCGATTGGAGCTTGAAATTTCTCTATTTTGAAAAAATCAGTTTGCAATAAATGAATACACTTTTTAACTGTAATGATAAGATTTTAAACTTCATTCACAGCCATAATTTTCTGTACAGCAATATATCAGTTTAGGATGATTTAAAAGAAACATCAAACAATGAGTAGCTTTATCACTCTGGTTTAATACTTATCGACAGTGCTCTCGCATGATATAAAATCCAGCACTTTCAGGTCTCTGAATAATAAACAAAATATCATTTAGTCATTGAAATAGAATCCAACAGTTCTTACTTGAATAAAAAAAAATAGTCTATCCGCGATGCAAAGCAACTCCCACTCAATATTGTTAACTTCACACGGTACTACTACCCATCAGAACTTCAAAAGAAATCCATCTTAAACACAGTGTTGCTGTATATATTACATGCTGACTGAAACGAAATGTTGTTTTTAATTATTATTCAGCTACTAAACCCGAGTACTATGAGTAAATAATCACCCAATAAAAATGTTATTTCGTCTTCTGAAAACATTTTCGTTGTACTTAAAACTGAAACGCTAAACTAACGAATGTAAAAAATTCATATGGTGGTTATTTTTTACTTTTTGTTTCTAAACACCTATTTTAAGTCTCTTCGATTAGCTATTATCAAGTTCCAGTGCATATTTGCTTCATATAATAAATACATATAACAATAGTAACGTGTCATCGCAATTGTGTCTAAAATATCTGTTCACTTCATAAGTATGTGATCATCAACACATTTTTCACGCATTTGTCAACGTTTTGTGGTTTAGGTTAAGTATTGAGCTAAAGCTTTATACTGTTTAATTCATACAATGTAGATTATTTTAATAGTTTTTCCGTGTTTTATTATTAACAAAATTAGATTAAAGCTGAAAACACATGAAACTATGTTACGTTTGATGGGTATGTGAGTGCAAAAAAAAGTGCATTGTTTTAACAAAACATACTTTTGACCTTTTTATTATTCTTTGTAGGTTCGTGTACTTCGAAGCATTGAACCGCTAACAATTGATGATATTGTTATTGGACAGTATATTGCTGATCCGAATGCAACAAGTCCACCTGCTTCGTTATCTTACACGGATGATCCATCAGTTCCTAAAGGTAGTTCAACTTTATTCCAGTTATCAATTTATAGATTTTAACAGTTTGTAATAACTGTAAGATTTGTATGTGTTTGAATAATGTGTTTATTTTTGATTGACTTCACGTTATCGACGTGATTTTTTTTTGAAGGATCTTTTATCACTCACAAAAAAGTAGTGCAATTAGCGTTTTGAAATTTCAGAAAATGAACTTTATAAATCTACAAATATATTTAAAGATACAATCTGTAAACAGAAGGTTAAATTGACTTGGATCACCCGTATATCCCTTTTCCGCATATTAATTCATAGCTAAATTTGAAAACAAAAATTATTGAAGCCGGTTCTCAATAATATTTATTTGTATAAAGAATCTGCGAATGATAATTTTACTATCATTTATATATGAATAACAATTTAAATAATATTCTACACAACTTCATGAACTCTCACCCACTAATCAGATTCAAATTTCCACTACGAAATGTAATGAAAATTTATTTGTGAATTCCAATCAAATTTTCAGTTGACAAATTTCTGTAGCTAGATCCCTATCATCAGGGAAAGCAATCTGGTTAATTTGTACTCCCAAAGTTATAGACAAAGAGCTAATTTTCAGAAAAACACTGAAAATACTTTTTCGTCACGATTTGTCTACTGCATAAATACTAACTTCAAAGGTGACGCGTCTGTTACAGTATCTTGAAGAAAGGGATCTCAAACATTCTTTGCAAAAACTCTGAGAATGGTGACTTGTTATCGACCCTTATTTTTACTAACAACCTGAAAGACAAATTTTTCTTGTACATTTATTGATTCAACTACTTCTGTAGAACAAGAGGTGTATTTGTCTAACAATGTGTATTTTGTCTAATCGAGTTCATGAACACTACCCCACTTGGTTAAGAAAAGGCAATGGTGATTCCATTTAATGCTTATTTATAGAAAATCTTATCATCAGTGGTCATTTGGTCAAGAGCAGCTCTTTCAAAATTTCTATAGTAAATGAACTTGACAAATCAGTATATTTCTGTCTCCTATGTTCCTCTAAAGCCATTGTTATACATAGCAAAACTTGTCTAGTGACTTATCTTACCGTAAACATAACCTATAAATTTAAATTACTTAAATTATCATTTTATTTTACAGATTTTTATTTCCCTTTGTTCATCTGCTAAAATGTTTATGACTTATCCTCTCTCTGTATCATAATGTTGAAGTTTTAACCCAAACGGATTTATTTTTGTTTCCATATCATTCCCAAGTACAATTCACTTTCAAATTTTAAGCTATTTATACTACACAATCTAATCTTATAATCTTGTATCTAATTACGATCATGTGTTGTTAAATTAATTTGGATTAAACAACTATTTAATGATAATTTTCCACGTTTATTTTGTCACTATTTTATCTGTAAAAAAACATACTCGATTCGATCCGATGCAGATGTGAGGGCGTGGATTGGCGAAGCAAGGGCTGCATTTCTACAATTGAAAAATATCTGGAACTCCAAACAAATATCAATCAGCACCAAAATCAGGATTTTCAATACAAATGTCAAGACAGTTCTACTGTATGGAGCGGAAACATGGAGAACTACGAAAGCCATCACCAATAAGATACAAGTGTTTATTAACAGTTGTCTACGTAAAATACTTCGGATTCGTTGGCCAGACACCATCAGCACCAACGTACTGTGGGAGAGAACAAACCAGATTTCAGTGGAGGAGGAAATCAGGAAGAAGCGGTGGAAGTGGATAGGACACATTGCGGAAAGCACCTAACTGCGTCACGAGACAAGCCCTCACCTGGAACCCTCAGGGCAAAAGGAAAAAAGTAAGGCCAAGGAACACATTACGCCGAGAAATAGAGAAAGATATGAGAAGAATGAACAAAAATTAGACAGAATTGGAAAGGGAAGCCCAGGACAGAGTTGGTTGGAGAAAACTGGTGGGCGGCCTATGCTCTATCGAGGGTAACAGGCAAAATTAATCAATCAAATCACTTGATTCTGTAATTGTGAAAATGAGATGGTTGCTGAAAGGAAATCTTTCCTCTAAACTCTATTCTTGTTTCCACAAACAATTAGTTTGCCTTTTAGTGATAATATTCATTTGATGTGTAAATTTGAATTATCCCGAGGATATTTGCTTCGCATGATGGGACTGTTTATTACTTTGCCTAAATTTTTGGGGCAACTTAAAAATGACTTATGGTTTTTGTCTTACGTTGACATAAATTGTAAGCCTTACACTTCACTATCAAAGATGTTAACATATTTTCACTGTGATTACTATAAAGTTTTTAAAATAATAATTATATTTTACGACCAATTATCCTAATTTTTAATACAAAAACTCCTCATTGTACAGCTAAATGATGAATTTCTAACTTTGTTTTTGATTTTACTGAACAATTTTAGATTCCATAACACCTACTTATGTATGTGCTGTGTTATACGTGAAAAATGATCGTTGGAAAGGTGTTCCATTTATTCTTCGAGCAGGAAAAGGTTTGTTTACATGTTGTCTCTTTGTTTTATGCCCATTTCTTTTTTTTCTATTAATTTACCTATTCTTTTTTGAAGTTCACTAGAAAATTCTATGTTATCAAAAATCTCAGGCAATTTTTCAATCGATTCGCATAGTTGACGTAAGATAAAATATAGAATTTATATGGAGATTTCATTATCGTCGGTAAATTTGATTACTATTATTATTGATTGTTGATTGAGATTGAACATATCTTAAGAAATATGTACAATTATCTTTCACGTCATTTCGTAATCTTATCTACAGTTATATGGAATAAACATATGATACAAGCTACGCGTATAGTAGTTTATACTTGCTTCTGTATATTCATAAGTAGTTACCGTTTTTGTTCTAATGATGTAAATAGTGGGGCCTCACTTTTGTTCAATGCGTGCCTACTTGTTATAAGTAAATTTCTGTGATGTAAATTTTTCTCTCTAAAAAATGCACATCATAAAATTGATTGACGATGGAAGTAAATCTACTCCCTGTTGTATTCAGTAATCTTAGTTATCTGAATATCATATTAACATGTCTTCATTAACAAAATGTTCATCAGTAAATATAAAATCTCCTATAGTGTATATGAAACATTCCTGTCACTACACCATGGACATTTCAGTTGTCATGAAACTGCTATTCGGAATGCAAAACGCTATGTTAAACCTTTAATCTTTGGTATCAATGAAACCCATTTACAGTAAATTTAAGATTAGTCTGACTAACAAAACTGTCAACTCAATAATGTTAATTCGACTATGAGGTATGATCACTAAATGGAAGACAGATACTTTCGATATTAGGCTTAGGAATAGTGAACAGTTCAGTGTTGAAGACTGTTAGACTAAATTTTGATATGATATCTATATCATGTAAGAATGTGATTTCTGTCTAGTAAAATATTTTTATATATTTGGTTTAAGATAATAGGTAAAATGAAATAAACTTATTCACACTCGTTTTTGTTACATTCGTTTATTTCTTTTCAACAACTTAACGTTTGTTTTATTTTCACCAAACTCTGTTGATTGTGTCTTCATTTTCTTACTATTAAAGTTCATGGCAAATTCTAATGTTCAATGTTTAAATTCATAATCTTTGTTAGTAGTGATTAAACTCCAAAAAAATATCACCACTATTCTATTCTTATAAAATTAACTAATAAGTCACCAGTTAGCTACTCGGACTTAGATCCTACGAACCGACAAATCGATGTTTATGTTGGAGATGTAGAATCTTCAAATAGAACTTATAAAGATCTGTGTCAGGTGGAATGTAAGGTTAACTTAAACATAGTCTCAATACTTTATGAACTTTCAATGCTATGATATGTGTTTAATGACAACTATTCAATTCACTAATTCTAATCATTTTGATCACTATATAGCAGATCAACTTAAGTGTTCTGCTTATTCTACTCGGGGTCATCATCAACAAAACTTCTGTTGAAAAATGAACTTCCTTAGGTTAACAACGGGTAAAGGAAAGCAGGATAACAATAGTCTTGTTCATCGTAAGAGTTGCTAAATAAGAGCTTATTGAATGAATATATCACTTTAGTTATTGTAAGATTTACTGAGAATACCATTACACACTGTCGATTTGTAAGAGATATTAATCTTCTTAACCATCTTTGAAATAACAATATTTATGCTTAACTTCAAACATCTGTCACACTTTTTCTCATTTTATTATTTATATATATATATTCCAAAATTATCCTTTTTCATGAAACAGAAAATTTTCTATATATTTGCTAATCATTCAAGGTAAATTAATTCGTAATGAACATCACCTTATTAAAAAACAATTATGATCTTCCCTTAGAGAAAAAAATCAGTCACAGTCTTGGAAAAATACCTTCAATTTGAATAGTACCTGTATATTATTCACCCGTTGATTATATGTCGCATTTACTACTACTATCACAACTGCTGGTGCCGTGTATATTATTGTCGTCATTAATTTGCTTTTAATTGTAGTACTTTCCTATTAATCTAGTTTGATTAAATAATCTGATTAGGCATCTATTCTTACTCCTAAATTGTGTACTTTTGACTGATTTATTTGATATGCAGCTTAACTTGTCAGATATAAATATAACCACTTTCCCAGAATAATAGTGTGTCATTATCGTCAACTAAATTGTGATATGTTTTCCTGTTTTGAACAACTAGATAGCTGACTTTATCTACGCGTATATATCATGCCTTACTTCACTTGACCGTCTTTAAATCCGAAATTTAATAACTATTATTACATTTGGTGAATGTTTTGGAACTTTGTCTTGCAATAAGTTTTGTATCGAGTGTGGTTAGTGAAATATTGATTTACTCACATGCAATGTCATTTAGCTTTTTTAGTCAACCAGAAAGGAAAACGTGGAAGCATTATTGCTTTTTATACATAAGTCGAAATGCGTAACTCAGAAATGCAATGGATAATATTATTGGATTTTTGGAGTTGGACGTTTATAAATATTTTGGGTTGTTGCTATTCTATGAAAGTATTATAATGTTTCTTAAATGTATTTTTTTTCTGAGAGATATTCTTTGTCGGTATCGTTATTTTTTAAGAAGAATAATAATCGGTAAAATGATGAGTATTTTAGATTCGTTTGAAACACTAAGATAATCATTTTTGTTTTCTCTTGTATAATTTTTGAAAGTTTTCTTTCTCTTACCCATCTCTTGTTTTTCTATTTCTTCGAATTTTAATGTGTAGCACTAAATGAACGCAAAGCAGAAGTTAGAGTTCAATTTAAGGAACCTCATATTCATCTTTTCGGTTCAAAAGAAGGTCTACCGCGCAATGAATTAGTTATACGTGTACAACCTAATGAAGCAGTTTATATGAAATTGAATGTGAAATCTCCTGGTATAAAATTTCAAACAGAGGAAACTGAATTAGACTTAACTTATGCTCAGCGATATAAAGTATGTTCATTTTCTCTCCTATTAATAAATTCTCTAAATATTTTTAGAATATTAAACTCCCTGATGCATATGAACGGTTAATTCTTGATGTGTTTTGCGGAGTTCAAACAAATTTTGTACGTTCTGACGAACTGCGTGAAGCTTGGCGTATTTTAACACCGGTTTTAAACTACTTGGAAGAAAATAAAGTCAAACCCTATCCATACATTTACGGGAGGTAATTGAAATGTACTTATATTGTCGTTGCAGAAGATTTTTGAGATACGTTTGTAAATGTTTACTAGGGCAGGTAATTAAAGTATAGAAATGTGCGAATGACAACTGAAACAAGACATAAGCTGCAATCATTATATAGTAGTCTTGTTTATATTACAAAATACTAGCCAACCTAATTAACACAGCTATAAACTCAACCGTTACGTGCCCACGGCAATTCTGAGTCTTCAATTTACAGAAAGAATAAATTGTATGTGCTTCTGGAAGAATAACAATCAAGATATACTATTTACTTACTGCCTGAAATCAAGCCAGGAATATGTTTGACAATGTTGTTATTAATATATATGAGCAGTGACTTATGTATCGAAATTGTAAATTATTTGTGAAACTGATTTTCTCAATCGTTTGTGGTATGTAATCACGTAGTAAGAATGAGTCAATTACTTATATCTGTTTAAAAACCCTGGATTGTTTGGTACTGCAAATATGTTATTGTTAATTAAATCAGTAATTGAATAATTTATATTATATACTATTTAGTTTAATTTATACAAATCACAAAAAGTAACTTATTCATTTATCATTTTAATCTATATTCCTGAGATCATATAATTTCGCATCAACAGTTTTTAGTTCTTAACTACTCATCGTCGTATTTGGAAGTCAGTATTAAGCACAAGTTAATTAGGTGCTCAGCAAACATAACAGTTATGCACCTTTCAGTTATCAACACCACAAAATATTGTTCGGCTTGTCATGTTACATCTCAACTTGAACCAAATCTGTGATTTTAGTCACCTAACATCTGTAATGAATAATCCAGGACTATTTATGATTTAATTTTTTTAATGTTTCTATGTATGTAAATTAAATTCACGTCCATTTACTTCCATATTTCTATTTTAGTCGTAATGGCCCGGCAGAAGCAGATACTTTGTGTAAGAAAGCAGGTTTTCAATATTCTGGTACATATGTTTGGAAATCAGGTTGATAAATTCATTCCGTCATTTTTCGATAATTTGTCCAATCATACAGAAGATCCACATTTTCTAACTTACTTAAATGTTTTTTAGTAACTATGCACAAAACATTTGACTTATTTGTTTCGTTGTAGCCAATTTACTTTAAGAGTTCTTTGTAATAATTTCTTTTATAATAATATTATCACAACGAGCTGTGTTTAAAAAATATGTATAACTCGGACCCAATAATACTTAGTATTGTTTAGCGTTACTTAGTTTTATAATGTGCGAGGCTTTGTCTCAGTAGGTTGCACCTTAAGTCACAATTCTGCTGCCACTGTCCTTTTTTGAATGTAGTGTTTTCAGCTTACGAACACCTTACAGGCCGGTAACGAAGTCGCCAAGCTAAAGCACCTCTGTTAATAATCTATTGTCCTTACTTTGTAGGAGTAATTCACATATGCATGTCATGATTATTAATACATTAATGATACCTTACATTGCTTGAAATAATTAGAGTTCAGAAAATAAACAAAACAGATTTATATGTTTAGTCACGTTCATTGGATAGGGGAGAACCATGCGATTGAATGATTCTGGGTATAGTCGTTTTACGCCAAAATAATATGCATATCTGATAAGCCGTCGGCACTTATTGAATCGTTTTTTCGAAAGTCACCCTGAAATGGATAGATGAGCATGTTCTGAAGCTAAAGCGAATCTCGGTATAACAAACAAACAAGTGAAAAGAAGCATTAGAGTCGATAAGCGAAAATGTGTGGAAGATTAGCAACGATAGCAGAAAAAGCTAAAAGAGAAGGAAACTGGAGTCGGCTATACGGTACAACGAAGAAGCTTGCTGGAAATTATCGTAAACCAGAACGACTAATGAAGAACAAAGTCGAACTAAGCACCGAGAGGTAAGGACAGCGGAACAGGTGGTAGGTAGAGCACGTTGAAGAACTCTTGAATAAACCAGTCTCACCGAGTTCATGGGTCGAAGTGGTACCTAAAGAGAGTCCTATAAATATCATTCAATAACAAACAAAGAAATCGTCATGGCCATTAAAAAATCAATGGTGATCAAGCAGCAGAACCAAGCAACATACCAGCTAGAGCATTGAAATTGGACGTGGAAGTATCCAAAAAACATGCATCACAATCTCTCAAAGATTTAGGAGGAAGGGCAAGTACTAACTGATTGGAAAGATGGATACCTCATTACAATACCAAAGAAAGATCTCAGTAAGTATGAAAAATAGAGACATCACTCTACTCCCGATATCGGTAAAAGACGCAAAAAAAATGTTAAGCTGAGTGAAAGATTCAGGAGACGCTTAGTTTCAAAATCGACAGACTGAATACCGAACTGACAAAATCGCGACACTGCAGATCATCGTGGGATAATCAATTGAATAGAACTCATCACTCTACATCGACTTCTCTGACTTCGAATAAGCGTTTGGCATTATGGAAATTTTTTCGATACTATGATATGCTTGGGTATTTAGCCAACATCATACGGAAATCTAATGATATGTTGGACTGTCTAATAGTGCATGGAAGACAGCTGACAGATTCATTCAAAGTCAAATCAGAGTGAAACAAGGCTGCCTACTCTCGCTCTTATCTTTCACTTGATGGTTGGCTGGATTATAAGGACGTTGAGATATCAGGGTGAGCAGAGGAAACAGTGAACAGCTTGCATGCTGCTAGATGATTTTAACTTCACAGATGAGCTAGCTTTTCTATCTCACACATGACGACAAGTGCAAGAGAATACATTCAATGTAGCAGCAGGTCTCAACATACACAACGGAAGAAGCTTGATCCTTCGATTCACCGCAGCATACACCAACTAAATCACACTTGAAGAAGCATCTCTGGAAGATGTGGAGAACTTGACATACCTGGGCAGGATCGCTGATTAGCAAGGTGGATCTGATACAGATGTGATTGTATGCACTGGCAGAGCAAGAGCATGACATTTTGAACTCAAATACACTATTAAGCAACGTAAGATTCTCACTTTTCAACACAAACATCAAGACAGTTTTTTATTGTATGACGTGGAAACTTGAAGAATCACAAAAGCCATGATCGGGGGGTTACTAGTGTTTATTAGTAGTTGTCTATGCCAGGTTCCGAGAATCCTTTAGCTAGATAACATCAGCAACAATCCACTGAGAGGGAGAGTGATGTATGAGTATCCATTTAATCCTATATACCTTATATCCTAGTGAAGAGACAATTGAATATCTTCTAGATTTATATTTATTCGGGATTTCAAATAAAATCAATGGTCAGTGGTTATTTGTGTAATATTATTGTATCATTTATTCTGGTTGAACGAATGATCCATCTAAAGATTTTTGTTGATACACTTAGGCGATTATCAACAAACTTAGTAAACTGTGATCGGCATCACAATCACATATCAAACAGTTTTGAGTCTCTCATTCAGAGTTCAGTAAGTCCTGACGATTAAATTGATGGAGAGAAAGAACATAACAGGAGTGTGATTTCTCCTCTTCTGCTTCGTAGTTTTCCAGGGTTCATAAAATATGGTGGGATTCGTTATGTGAATTTTTATAAAAGCATTAGACGACATGGCATATTACCAATTTCAAAACCAACCGTACTGAAGTTTTTCATCTGCTGAAATCCATAAGTAAGTAATGCGATCCACATTTGCGACTTACAGTAATCTGATGATAAGGGAATAAAACAAAAGAGCTAAGATGTATAAATGCGGAATTTTGAATTTGACTTCCTAAGGGAGTAGAGCCGCTGTGATGCTAGAGCCAATATCCCTGTCACAAAGTACCTGTTAGAAATAGTTGGTTCTATATCGATTCGGATTGGATCACAGACTATTTTAGAGAATAATTTACTTTTAAAGTACATTATTCTTCAGTGAGGTCGTAAATCGGCAGTCAAAGTTTAGAATAGATAAGCTGACCGTTTGTAATTTGGTGGCTAACAAATACAGATTTACTGAACAAACCCCTACATGAAAGCGTTTACTTAGTAATCCGGACCAGACCACTTTTGGGTACTTAGTGATGCAAATCCATCTCAACAACTCATCAACTTACATTGCACAGGTTCTGGATGATGAATCTCTTAGACATTATTTATCCCTGGTGAGGCTCAATGACGATGAAAAAATTTCGATTGTCTCATCTTGCTGCATATGTATATAAGTACATATATGAACAAATGTACATATAGATCTAATACTTGATGATGCTATATTTGTAATCCAAAAAGAAATTACCTAGTGGCGATGAATAAATCCCGGAAACAGATTGTTCTGTACATCTTCGCAATCGAAGCTGACCATATTAGTTGAATTAGCTCAGTCACGCATCCTCACCAGAGCATCTCTGAAGACTACGCACTACATCAGCAAGCTAAGCTCATCTAATCCTCCATATTGCGACCCTAATTCAAGTATCCTTCTTTTGGGGATGTTAGATCCCCAAAGTTCGCTTGATAAATGCCTTATTTCGGTTCTCACGTTTGCGAGCATGGGTTGATCATCTGACCCACCTGGAAAATCCATGGCTGTGATTGGCTGCTGTGTATTTTAGTGTGCTATTTTTGTGACTGTCCCAAGGACGTTTCTATGATGTATAAATAAACGAGAGTTGTATGCTTGATTGTACTGTGATTGCTAGGTGTTTGTAGAATATACTTTCTACGCTTATCAAGACTTCTGTTTTGTAGTTGGGATTCAAGGTAGCCCACCTGGAAGCTGGTAAAAGTCTCGTTCGCGTTTATCGACTAAGGTAAACTCGTAATAGCCTCAAGCATACTTAATGACGAAGCCGATACCTTCCAATCTTATTCAAGACCTTTGGTTTGAATATGTATTAAAATTCTCGATTAGAAGACATTGCAAACAAAAGTGTTGTCAAAATGTGAATATCTGTCTTATCACCTTTGGAGGGAACGGCGACTTCTGGTCCACCTAACGCAAACTTGCTATGTCAGAAATAAAATTATTATTAATCTGACTAAGAAATCTGTTACTGTATGGTATACTCCAAACAATCTGATCGTACCTCTTTAGTGACATACATCATGCAACACTGTTTTCTAAGAAAAAGTATTATTTTTATTATAAGAAATGGCCAAGACATCATTTCCAACCCGAAAGAAGCATATCACCAAACCAACTACGCATGCACACCTCGACACCGACCGCAATCTTAATAGACACATCTGAAACGGTAGTCGGAGCACATTTACAATTCCTTCTTGTTTATAACTAGTGTTTTTTCCATATTTTCTTACTCGGCAAACAATAGCGCAGACAAACGATTCGGTGAAACGATTGGACATTCTGATTTGATTGTCCCTGGCCTGCTAATTATAGCAATAAGTTTTGATATGGCGACGTGATATCTTTCTACTTTTGGCATGTTTCTCGGGAAGGTTAAGTTGATTGAATCCAGTTATAGTACATCTAGGGTCGTATGGTGCTGTACAACACTTTTAACACTCCTAGAATTCACTCATTTGATCAACCAGCTCGTCCTGAGACGTATTCTCCTCAAGAGTCCCGACAGCTGGATAACGTCTCACAGTTTACTCCAAATATAAAATAAATCTTCTACGAACAGTTCCTAAGGAATAAGCTATGATTAACCTACTCAGCCTCAAAAAGAAAACTCTGGTCTAGGCATGAATTATCAAACAGATAAGGAAACCTTACTTTGTAATACCTTTGGAGGCGGAGATCATTCAGGCGTTTTGAAACATTGTCGACAGTAAACGCCGCATCAACTTTCTCACTCGGGTATCGAAGCTGAATGATTATGCCAAACTGGTATACAGAAAGATGTGAGAGTGCGGTATTTCGCTTGGTATGTTGCCAGAAATCTAGAATAATCGTAGAAGGATGAAGTCAGCAGCAGCTTCGAATTAATCCAGAAAATAGTTCTGAAAGTTTTTGACTTTATTGGTTTCACTGGACGAATCCTGACTGAAGGTGCCCAGCTACGCATCCATAAGTAATAACCATTAAGCAGGATGGGCCAAACATCCTTTCACGACAACCCCTAGTTCAGTGACAAAAGTACACGTTTCTGTGTTTGAGAATAATCTTCAGATGTGAAATATCAGCCTCAAATTTTCCGCGTATGATTACGGCAGTCTCGAACAACTGCTTTTTTCCTGGTTGCTTCGGCAGCATACACACATTTATTCACTCACAAAAACAGGACTTGTGGGTCCATGCGGATTCGCTTACTAGGACGGTGAAAGCTGGAGTTGCGATATCGGGTGACTTTCAGAATTCATGCTTGAGTAATTTATGCCTCACATCACTATTTTCCTACTTCCGAAAATCTTAACTTGAGTATTTTCTGAACCAAAATATATCGTTTTCCGTCCTTAAATCTCTTGGGTAACGTGTTCACTTATAGCGTTGCTACCACTTCTGATACTATAACAAATATGAAAACTACTAGAGGCATGAATTTCGGGATTAGTATTGAGTCGAAAATTGCAACTTCGAGTTGTGAAAAATACTCACTCAATAGTATACCTCGCAGTATTGTTCATAATTCGGATCACCCGAACCAAACGCCTCCACAAACTCTCCAACGAAGAAACCGACATGACACCCCTCAGATTCCTACTCAAACTAAGACCAACAGGCAAGATAAGAATAGAAGAAAAAGGCATCATAAAACTCGATTGACTCAACCTACCGTTCTGAAGACACATAAGGATAAATGCATTGCATGATTTGTGCTGGTCTGAACCTGCGACTATATTTGAACTTCTATAGTACATGCGTGCATTTTCCCTGTGACACTGCAGTACCTAGACATTAGTATGCGTTCCTGCTGGGTCACTCCTGTCCATGGTTTCGGCTTATTATTCCACAGTGTAGAATAATTCAGACAAAAATTTAGGACTAGCAAAGCTGCAGGCTCTACCAAAAATAAAACTAGAAATCCCCACAGGTGAACCAAACCCACCCAGCGCCAAATCGAAGAAACAGGTAACAACTTGGATGCAACCCGAACCGATAGATGGACAAAACTACCTGTTTCCTGAAAACCTTAAAGTATCTGTTAATAGTACTTAGTGTACGTGCGAGTGTAAAAGAGGGAAATGCAACACTACGTCCCATAAAATGTTTAAAATCAGGTACATGGATGTTGGAAAAAGTTCACTAATTTTATTTTCTGTTCTAGTGTCGGAGGGTAGCTCACTGCGAAGTAGAGCTATCTTTGATCAAGAACAGTGGGACAAGCACCGCACAATCCTCGGAGTGAGCAGTACCTCCGCCAAACTATATCGTCTTTTCAAGGGCGAGAATTCACCCTCTTCGTTGAAGGTGACCATAGACTCGGGACAAGTTGACGAAGAAATCCTCCTGAAATCTCAGAGACTCCAGAACAAACTTTTCTGACTGATCCGAGTCGTGCACGACAATCCGTGGTCAGCAGCTGACAGGTCATCGAATTCACTCATGAGCAGATGAGCATGGTCGTTCACAGGGTCCACGGGCTAGTTAGTGTCAGCTTGGATGAAGGTTATGCACAAGACTTGCAACAACGGCGACGGTTATTACCTAGTAAGGACTCTCAAACCATCATAGCAACTATCTTACCCCAGCTGCCTCGTCCGTCACATCTTATGACTATCAAGTCTTCATGTCTGATGGATGTGGAATTCAGAAATCGAGAAGACCTAACTGAAGAGCTTCAGGCTTGGTACAGCATGAAGAACGATCCCTCTGGTCACATTAAATGTTGCGAGAGTCAAACTAGATATGTTTGACAACAACACGGAGACAAGAATAAGCGCAGAATCATGACAGTTGATCGCGATCAACAACCCATGACACAATACTTGGAGATAATAGTCTCGCCAATTGAATACACTACACTAGCAAAAAACCAGCAGAGGCCAGTCCGCACAGAACTGGCCGATTCGGACAAAAGAAACCTGTTTGAAAGAACAACAACGGCTGCTGGTGCAGAGGTGCACCATGTTATGGAACAAACCACCAAGTGCCTCTACAGCAACGTAGGATGACTGAGGGGTAAGCTATCTGAGATCAGGAATACGTGCTCCCAGATGGATTTAAAGATCATATTCCCAACTGAAACATCGCTATCCCCCGACAAAGTAGACAACGAAATGAGGTTTCCAGGCATGACACTCTTCCGATACAAAAGGGTACACTAGACAGGAGGTGGATAAGCATTATATGTTAATAGCCATTTCAGATCGGAAAGACTAAACAGCACCCAACTAACCGATGTGACGGAATCAAGCTGATGCTGGATCAATACCAACGGCGAAAGATACTTGACTAGTAGTACTAAGGCTCAGAAAGATAACTTACTGAGCAATACTGTAAACGCCACTCCTTGGGTTTGACCAAATACTCGTGGTTGGAGATTCCAACACTGCATCTCTAAATCTCAGAAAACAGGGTACAACTTCCACTGGTCAGTTCCAAAGATGAATTGGCGCAGCCAGTATAACTCCACCCTAATCAATAGTCAACTGTAGTTGTATCTTAAAAAACAAGAACATAGTTTCTTCCTGTGATGAGTTGATAGATGATATACTCCAGCTCTTGGGATTATTCCCACTGAGCTACAGGAGAACCAGAGGTGACCTGATTATGGCGTACACCATATTAAACACGCCAAACCATCCCAATGTGAGCATCATACCGATGCATCACCACCACTCTCCTCGAGGCAATCCTCGAAAGATTGCACATCAATGAGCAAATACTCAGATTCGTGCACACTTTTCTCATTGCGAGTCGTCGCAACTTGGAATGCTCTCCCAGCCGAAGTAACCACACCCCCCGCAGTGGATTGCTTTAAGAAGAGACTTGATAATCATGTACTCACATACGGACTATCATCTCCGTCTTGGACAAGCTGTTCATGATGAATATCTTGAGACCTGCTAGTTGTTATCATTGCCATCTTCAGATCACTCGATTAATCTATCTCGCCTATTATCTCTGTTTCCTCTCCCTTGCTTACACTTCGGTCCTCTCTCACAATCTTCACTACCAATTAATAAACTAAATTCATCTATATATTACTCATTTCTGAAATTTTATTCATATTAGCATTAGAACTTTATCATTACTAACCTTATTACTGTCAACATTGTAAATAACTTATCTCCGGTCTGGTAATGTGATGGCTGCTGGTATCCAGAAACCCTACTGCCTTGAAACAAATGTTTTAATTCAAATCCCGAGACATACAAACTCACAACCAGTTGCCAACTGACTAGAATTAGACAGTCGAGTGGCTAGACCTCCATCCAATGGAAGTTACCGAACACCTGGAATCGTACTGAAGAAACAAGAATCGAGCGCGAAGAAATCAAATTGGTTTACACTAGCTCGTGAAAAATATATTGGATATTGAATATTGTAATCAGGTTCAACATGAATAGTAGGTTTGAATGTGTGCGTTACCCTTCTGGTCTCTGGTGCAGTTCTTCACCAGTATCAATTACTCACTAACCACTACAATAATGTAGTTCAAAAATATATAATTTTGAATTATTTGTTGAAATTAATTTGCTTTCATGAGTTTAATGTTTATCTAAATGTTGTTTTTACAATTGATTGACTGGTGTCACAATGTATCACAAGGATGTTGTTTCTCCTGAAGAAATTTATTTTAGGTCTTTGTTCATAATTATAGTCTCCTTTGATACATCTTCATAATGTAACATCTTTGTCTTAGTGTAATCCTAAAATAAAGGCATTGCTATTCTTATCTTAAGGTATTTTGCGTTTGATAGTTGAGTTTGATGATGTTGCTTTTTAATAAGAAAATATTCCAACTTCGAATGTGAAAATTACACTACTTTACTGCCTGTCAACATTCAGGCTGTCCAGACCACACAGTCCGTAGGCGGACTGCTTGAGTGAAATGATTTGATTTGCAAGTTATTCTGATGCCTATTTTGCTTTTTGTGTCCGAATGATGTACGTTGCAACATATAAGCTCTAAGTACTTCTTTAGTACTTACGGTTTCATGTACCATCCATTGTTGGTGGTAAGCAGTTAAAAAATCTCTAAGCTTATGCATCAGGTTCTGTTAATTGTTTGTGGTAATATTTCATAAAATTTAGTCTGTGATAATTAGTGACTTTTGAGAATCTAGGTTTTATTTCGTGACATCAATTCGTTATTCTAACTTTCACTAGTCTGGTGTGCAATAAAATAATTCAAAGTCATGTTTGAATCAACTAAGTACTCCAAGGAAAGAATGTCCGAACACTCGTTATCTTCAAAGAATAGGTCACATTCGCTAGCAACACAATGTGTTCAGGACAGTGATGACAGTTTTTTAAAGGCTGTTACTAGGTTGCTACTCTAGGATTTTATCTGGCTTTTTCATGTCACTTCTCTAATATAGTATAGTAACTGGTGTAGTGACCGGTGCATGCACGTGCTAGGTCCCACATTGCGTTTAACCGAAGTGCTGTCACATACAAGCACCAAAATTTGTGGCTTAGTGATCGCTCTCACTTTTCCGTTATCGATTCCCTCTTCCTCTTGTGAAGCGTGCTATGTTGGTTAAATGCGTATTTGTTCAGTTTCCTACTTTGTTAACAACTAACCACCATGCAATACAGTCTCACCATTTCCTTCATTTTGGAAAATCTGTACAAAACATGTGTGACCAGATTTCTAGAAATGTAAAGTGCAAATACATCGTATTTCAGATCAATTACGCCTTCTCACTGTTCTATCAAAATTTATAAAAGGGACTAATTGTTTTAAAATATATTTGTTCCGTAAATTCTCCATCATATTTGAAAGACTTGTTTCTTCTAAAACAAGGGTTCTATTTTTTGTTTGTTTATCACTGTATCGTAAAACCGTTCGCATTCAGTCATGATAACTGAAATGATGCACCAATGAATCGCTTAAAGCTACGCTAACGTCATATTTCAATTTGTTAACCTTTTACACCATCCCTACAGCATATTCGTCCTTTCAAACTACAACCATTCTGAAAATATGCCGAAAGTATTCAGACCATCGATAAAACAAGTTAAACCTCACGTAAAAACGTATGTTTTTATTGTTACTAAAGCTACGCTATTTATAGAAATGAGGTTGAAACTCAAGAAATCAGACAAAATATGAGGCTCGATCCCCAACCGGCGAAGGAGTCGTTACCCTGCGCTTTTCAAAGTGATCCAAAGCCAAGGTAATGCAACCTGATAATTCTTATTCTTTCAGTTCACCACTTCCCCTGCAGAATTCCTGTGAAACTCCTAAGATGGTTACTCAAAGGTAAATTTTTTTATAATACACATTTACTTTTAGACCAACTGACCTTGACCTAGATGTCCACGTTAGTTCCGAAAATATTCAACAAGCACCCAAGGAAATAGTGAATTTATTTGTCTCTAAAAAAGTAGTTGTCTAGTCCTGAATAATTATTCTCCAAAACTTATAGCCTCGGAAGTTGAAAGTGAAGCCAACTGAATTAATACCTCCTGTAGATCAACCTCTTGATCGAGCTTCTGTCACTCTTCGTTCATTATTACATTGGGTCCCTGTAAATAAACCGCCTCCAACGTAAGTCCTGTTTGCATAATTTACTAGTAGGCAAGTTATCGACAGGAGCGTCTTAACTCCACTACTTGTTCAGTAAGTGGGGACATTGAAGCAAGTGATTCTGACCTCAAATTGCATGAGGAAAATACTAAAAATTCTGAGTTGAAGGAAAATTCAGAAAAATGTCCATCTAGTGATGTTTATTTAGATCCGTTAGCTCCTCAATTACGAATTGATGCTAATGGAAATATTGTGTTGGATGAAACCAGTTTACTAGTTGGAAAACGGGAGAATTTCGATGCAAAAACTCTACGCCATATTAATGAAGAAACTGGCGTCCTCAGTGTTAACTATCGTAGCTTCCGACCTCCCCGGGATGGTCATGGGAGGAAATGGACAGAGCGTGAGACCACACGATTCTACAGAGCGTTAAGTACCATTGGGACTGATTTTTACGTGATGGAAAAAATGTTTCCCCGCCGGAAGCGATCGGAACTCGTTGTAAGTTCTTCACAGCCGTCGGTTTCTATACCGCTCACTTTAAAGTTCATTCATTTTCCAAAATTTTCTGTGTTCATTATTGTATTTATCGTAATTCACTTTTGTTATGAATTTTTTGATAATTAATCGTTCAAACATGTGTTCATTCTTTTTAGAGGAATTAACTTTAGCTAGTACACATTCATGTCAGTCAGTCATAGACGACTTCATATCGGCACATAGAAAGGTTACGCGGTTGTTTAGACATAACTTAGAACATGGCACTTGTGGTACATCAATTCAAATTATCATACTACATTAGCACAGCGAGATGAAATAGTCAGGATAGAAGTAGTAATTGTTATGGTGGTAATGGAACATGTTAATCTTCAGGAATAGGACTGAAGAAAATGAAATAAATTATGAGGTGTTCAGAAACTTGGTGTCTTAGAGAAGAAAGAAAGTGAATGTAGCTGAGCCTTTGCGTAGATGACCAACTAACAATAATATCAATGACGGAATCAAAAATATAATTCGGAACATATAAAGAACAAGCACACCTGCCTCACTGAAACCACTTTCGAATCATACCAGTCTCTGTTTCCAACCTATCGCACATTCTACTGGTCTGAACTAGGTTCTCTCCTCCCCCTGCACACTTCAGTTTAAAAATCAATCACTTCATAAACTGGTAGTATATCCTCCCTGGGTCACCCAAAAAATTCTTCCAGGAGACTCGTACGTTACTTTATATTGCATTTTTAAATAGGCAAAGGCACGGTACGCTTTACAGGCATTTCAACCACTTCAGTGGATGAAGCTTTAGAGCCCCAGCAACCTGGATTACCTCGCACTCTACACCTTACTTCAGTATTGCTCACTTAGTGGCTCTTTTTAAGTGAAACTATACATCGAAAAAATCCTAATCAAACTATCAATCAATGAATGTCTTTTAAATTCAATAAAATGATACGAAGCTAATAGCTACACAGTATTGTCACCCTTCTATAGGTATGTGAACATCTCTCTTGCTCCCTACAAAGTGTGAGTTGGCAAAGGTCGGTTATGTATTTTTTTATCTATCTCGACGTTTCTTTAGCCACTAACGCACCTTGAGTTATCAAACTTTTTCAATTCGTAAAGTGGTTAACGCGCCTGAATACTCCATCCTGTGTGATCAGACTAGATATTGGCGCAAACCAGTGCTCTGATTCATCTTGAAAACTCATTGTTTTTCAAAACATTAAGACTGTTTTCAATCATCATTTTCACCAATCATTATCTCATCCGTATATTCCAAATCAGCGGCATAGCCAACAGTTTCGTTTCATATATGCTTTGTGGAAACAATATTTACTAATCAATTGCTTCAACTTCCATTTGAGAAACTGGAATAAAACAGTTGATACTTTTTCTAAGCCAAGTAACTCATCTCATTTCAGCTAATTTCATTCCTTAAATCCAATTACGATGAAATATTTCTATGATTTATTGGACTATCCTTCAGATAAATTATATTGTTTCTTCCTACCATTAAAAGTTACCCAGGTATACGTGTACTGAAAAATCACATCACATTCATAGTTCAATTCAATCTTGAATTTCCATGCCAACATTCTTTTGAATATTTTAGAAAAAGTATTACTAGTTTACGATTGTAGTAATATTTTTATGGTGATTGTTTCTTATTGATCAAGATTACTTTATCAAGTTAACTAATCTAGCACCAAACTGTAACTAATCAATAGTAAATGAAATGGCTGGTTGTTTCCAGTTCTTACCGCAGCAACTGAGGCCACTAAATATTCCGCGATAACAAAGTATATTTCTTATGATTGAATATTTGCCTTTGTTCTTAAAGTCTTCGAAATATTATTTACTGTTAACGAGATTTTGACAAGCGTAATGTAGATAATCTCTAGATATCACAGATTTCAATTTAGCTTTGTCCTTCGAAAGATAATTCTTATCATTACTGTCTATGGCTTCTCCGATTCATTTTTCTTTGAAAGGTTGTGCTATTTTTCTAAGACTTCAAGAACCATTTGTTTAAACTATCCCTGTCCTACAGACCTTATAGCTTCGAATGTGATTGATTTATCATTATTGATAATTTCTAGAAGTTGGCTTTATATATAGCACTTAAAAGTTTCTCATTTTTCAAATCTACTTTTTTCAAAAGAGCAAATTTAAACGAGAAGAAAAACGCAATCCTTATCTAGTCAATCAAGCATTACGTAAGTTGAAATCACTCTATAAGTAATTTTACTGCTTATAGGAAATCGTCGAACTTACGATCTGATCAATTTATTCCCCTCAAGTGATGAAGAAGAAAATGCAAAACCGGATAAACCTTTAAAACTCATAAGAAAAAAATGTAAGTTCATTTTTTGCTATTGAGTTCTTTTTCCAAAACTATGACTCGCTTCGTCATTTACTCCACAAAATTACAGATATCTGAATGATATACCGTGCTATATTAAACCGTGATTCGAAAGTTCAGAATTTTAATAAGATTTTCAATCATCTAAGTTAGTTAGAGACTATTTTAAAGCTTCTCCCCACCATATTTATTAAAGTATACAGCTCCTAACAACACACAATGATAGCTACATCCACTGTCCTTTATATTCATACTTTGTGTAGTATCTATTATCATGACACACATCCTTATAAATATGTATCCCCTTGTTCAAACATGCACTAATCATCATCAAAATCAGACGAAACTATTTGGTTAGTAGAATTACATCCAGACATTGAGAAATAATCATGTATACTTTGAAGAAATAAGATTTTATCGTTCGCTTGTTAATAAGTTGACTATATGTGCTTATGACACGTAATAACATTTGAACCTGTTTTTATTTAATTATGTACATTGAGTAGTCTGTTTTGAATAGTGTTCAGATACCTTTAGTGATTCTAGATTCAACATTGAGTTACTGATTGAGTATTGTCTGTAAAACTGGATTTCTTACTGTTTGTTAAATGTACCCCTATAAAAGATGTACTACGAGATTTTTTTTTATAATTATGAAAATATTATTACATTATCACTAAAACTTTTTAGACATCTAAGTTTAAAGTCTGTAAAATGTTTGCAGGCCATGCAAGCGAATACAAAAATGTATATGTTGATAAAGTTTGAAATCCTGACAATATACTCATCTTAAACATGTGAAAGTAACTGACCGACAGAGCATCATTAACAAAAATAAAGTGATGGAGATTAATAATTTTGTCTGTTTTGAAAAATCAGATGAACTTCAAAACGATAGAATATTGACTTAAGATTTTATCTTATTTTGGTTTGTATACAAGAGAACTAGAAACTTGAGATAAATAAAACCACCTAGTTGTTTTGTCCTTTACATAAAAATGTACAAAATATTATTGTCCGTTCTTTTATATTACGATGGCTAAACAACTTTACACACATGTACACGCACATAAAAAGCTCAGTTTTTGAGAAAATCAGAACAAATTTATGATGTACTGTGAAGAACTAAACAATTTTTATAAAATACAAACACAGAGTTCGAAATCTGAGTTCAAGAATCACATTTTAAATTTAAAACTATCTGTAGTACAAGTTATTAATTTCTATTTATTTGCCTTACGTATAGAATGATGTATGAAATAAACAAGTCAGATTATAAAAAAGAAAAAACAAGTTCAAGAATTGATACTTTACTGTCCTACTATAATGTAGAATTTATTGCAAACGAGACTAAACCTATATATTATGGGATTTAATTTGCTTATAGATGGATTTCTTAAATAATTCCTTTAGTATATACTAATAGGTCGAGCTTACATGACTTGTCCCAGCAGTTGGAAAAAATGATTAACCTACGAGATGAAAAAACTTGTAGCTCAGGTGAATGATTGTGGTGGAGTTTCGTTCTCTGAGCTAGATAATTAACCTATTCATTTTGAGTCATTATTTATTTGTCTTTTGTGAGCAACGCTGTTATTAGGAAACGGGTGCTAGGTAAAAATGGCAGATCAATAGATGAAATATTGAAACTTAGTTGATGTGGTTGGGACATGTGTTGCATATGCCTCGATGAGCCACATTTTACGGTGTAGGAATAGGTTGGAAGAAAGTTAGGGGCGGCCAAACCAAAACATGGCGGAAATCCATGAAGTCATTGACGAGTGGACTTAGCCATATCGGTAGTTGTCGACTACCTGGTTGGGGTCCGCGAGATGATAATAATCGATGGTTAGAGACCTTGAATGACATGGCTCAAAACTGTTTGAAATGGCGCCGGTGCATTTATTCTTTGTGTTCTCTCAAATCCTAATCTTCTGGATTCTTCAACCCCTCTACTTTTGACTTTCTAAACTTTTCTCACTGAATCATACTTCTTGAATAATATCTTCTAATCCTAACCTCTCTGATTACTTCTAATACCTTTACTACCTCTACTACTATTGGATTTGAATTGACAATTACATCTCTGTGCTGATGTGGTATGGCAACATGAACTGATGTACTTACGTACGAAGTTCTACGTTGCATCTGACTGACTGACATCTGTCTTTTGACCTTATAATTTGGTTGTTTTTATTTAGGCATGTGTGTATGCATTGCTTACTTCGCTTATCATACACCTGGCTTATTTTTGTCTGATTATAAATACTCAGTCATGTCTCATCACATCAAGTTTGCCCACTCACCTCTTTCACTTTGCTTCGCTTCCCCACTTTTCATCCTCATGACTGTCTGCGTGAACGATTACATGAAATAACCTCATCCCACCGAATCCGTATTTGACTTATTACCGCCATCGCACAAACGGAGTTCGCTTTAGAATATGGAAATTAGATGAAAAATTTATTTCATAACATTCAAATGTTCTTCCAAATTAGAGTCAGATTCTGGGCCACTTAAGTCCCTATGCTGTCTAAAACAGAGTATTAGCAGGACTATAGTCAAAAAAGGCAATAATGTATATAGCCAAAAATTATAATCTGTTTCTAAAATGTAAATTGATACAATTTGTACAAACTTAGAAAATAGTAGTCAATTACAAAGAGAACAATAAACATAAAGATACTGAACAGTACAGAATGAATCCATAACCAAGGTCTAGTCATGTTTATATAACTGGTATAATCTCGTCATTGGTAGTTCCGTAAAAAGAGTCATTGTAATAACCAGGCTAGGTTCGAATGAGTTTTAAGTGTTAGGCGTTTAACTCAAATTTTATTGGTTGATCCACTCTTATTGATTGGAGTCAATACTCCCCCTGGAACAAACACCACTGTTGGACTATTCTCAGGATAATCATTTCATTCACAGTCTTTTGCCACATGGTCGTGCTGGGTCCGTAGTCTACCTGATTGACTATAGTCCTTGGCCGCTGACTTGTATTACAGTTATCCAGCTATCGTAGAGATATTACAAACCATGGATCTTTCGACTAATCGGCAGTAGTAGATTTGACTATATTCGTACGTTTTCTGCTGCGTGAACCTCTGTTAATTTCCTCCTGGTCAACGATAGAGTATCATTTCACTTTAAGTAAGTCTTTTTTATCACTCTGCGTTTTCTTTACGCAACCCGTTTGCCTAACGTCGGTAAATAAATCCGCATCAGTATCATTTCCGATATAAGCATTCTTTACCGTTCTCTCAGTTTTAGAAAACTGCAGTCAAGGTATTTGCATATCCGTAGAGTGAGCACTAATAGGCCCTTATAGCGTCCATCCTATTATGCTTCTTACAGCGTACGACTTGTTTGTCTCATCAGTCCTTATCTCTTTTGTATCGTGGACGTCCGTTGCAATACACCTGAATCTTTTATCCTTACGATGGTGTATAACTTAGCTTCCTTAAATCTGTTTATGTTTCTCAAGACTTTCATTAGCACTTGAACATACTTCAAACAAGTAAGCTATCAATTTGCGAGCAATCTTCTAGGAATTAAAGCACTCAAGTTGTAGTCGTCGAGTTTTATTTTAAGACTCACCTCACTAACTCTGCAGTGGCCAACAGCCTGCACATAAAAGTTGTATTTCGAAGTCAAGTGTAGGAACCGATATTCAGTTATCTAGTTTTAATTCAAACTGTTTTTGTCACTCTCAGTGAATAGAATACAGTACGTCTTAGCGCCGATTATTTAATATTTATTCAACTAATATTTACTTCCAGTTTTTTTTTTTTTTTTTAAAACATCAATCGTCAGTGGACTATACTAATTCCGTAAAACAATAACCAAAATGAATTCCACTTTTATTTTTTTTTTCACTTAATTTATGTAAAGCGAATATTTTATTGTGCCATATTTTTTGAAAGCACTAAAGATTAACTCTTCACCAGTTGTTTAAACACTAAACATTTGAATGTTTGTATGTAAAGGCGATATTTTTACTTACTCAGTGTACATGATTCACACTTGCTTCAGCCTCTTAACTTATGTTTTGGACAGTCTTTTTCAACCGTAACCGTGTAAAATAAACAATTCAACCACATGTTACGTCATGCTTATATAACTTAGTTTGTTTATTCTTTTATTCTTTCAATTTTTTCTTTCAAAAATTAAACAGCTAAATGTGATCAAGATTCAAATGAAATCAATGAACAATCATGTGATCAAAATTTTGAAGTAGTAAGTAAACCGAAAGCAAAAAGAAAAAGCTTACTTCGTAGAGATCCAGATTTCGAAAGCCATCTTTCAGAAACAATCGATCATGTCTTATCACAATTTGAAAATCCCGATGCTAGTCGCCATAGGAACCAGTCGATTCAGCATACTGATAGTGGACAACAGCTTAAAAATAATACTAATCACCGGTATGATTTTAGGCGTTCCACGCGCAGTATTCCATCTTTACAAAAAATGATTTCACTCAAGAAAGCAGAGCTTGCTGCATCCAAAGAAACTAACCTTGCAGATGATATAGACTCGCCTCAATCTTCTAAAACTCCCGAAAGTAACCCTGTAGTTACCCCAAAGGCTGGAGTTCCTAAACGTCCTAAGTCCTATTTTCGCCCGAAAATCGATCTTTTTAAACTCAGTGACACCATTTGGGTGAATCATGATAATTTTTCCCTCCGTATATTTGTGTACATAAAATTTACTTCGTCGTTCGTTTGTTTTATATTTAGTTTTTGTAATTCGTTAGTGATGTTTGATTTCTCCTGTTTGCCTTATCTTAGCTGTCAACATGAAATCATGTAAATACATGATTCTCTTTTGTTAAATTTAAGCTGAAACATTTGGTACCGTTTACTTCCGAGTCTATGTTGTCATAGAATCATTTAAAAACGTCATCAGTATTGTTGAGGTGAAATTTTTAATATTTTGAATGTCTTTCTGGACTTTTTTTAGTTAGATTGCTAAAGACTTTCGTCCGTAATACG